GGTCAGATCTGAGCGAGAATCAAAGCAGAAGGGAAAAGCAAAACAAAGTTGCCCTGTTCATTTTTCAGATGTACTTAATTATGTCTTACTCATTATGTTCATTGACGTGTTATAAATAAGACCATAATTAAGCACAAGGAGTACAACCATTGTATTGTAAACGTGTTCGTGTAATTATGTAATTAAATAAATATTGCAAAATATAACAATTCCATCTCTTGCACAATTATTTCATCACATTGTTATCGATCAGATTTTCTATCCTGAAGCAAGTAATCAAGACTTCATTAATGGACCGATCAATCTACCAATCATTCACTCACTCATTAATTCATTCACTCATCCAACCCACCAATCAATCAAACAAATAAATCCATCCATCCATCCATCCATCCATCCATCCATCACTCCATCCATCACTCCATCCATCCATCAATCCATCTTTCACTCCATCACTCCATCCATCCATCCATCCATCTATCACTCCATCCATCCATCTATCATTCCATCCAACCATCCATCTATCACTCCATCTATCCATCCATCCATCTATCACTTCATCCATCCATCCATCCATCTATCACTCCATCCATCCATCACTCTATCCATCCATCACTCCATCCATCCATCACTCCATCCATCCATCCATCTCTCCCTCCATCCATCCATCCATCACTACATCCATCCATCCATCTCTCCATCCATCCATCCATCTATCACTTCATCCATCCATCCATCCATCTATCACTCCATCCATCCATCACTCCATCCATCCATCCATCACTCTATCCATCCATCACTCCATCCATCCATCACTCCATCCATCCATCCATCTCTCCATCCATCCATCTATCAATCCATCTATCCATCCATCCATCACTCCACCCATCCATCCATCACTCCATCCATCCATCCATCCATCTATCACTCCATCCATCCATCACTCCATCCATCCATCTATCACTCCATCCATCCATCACTCCATCCATCCATCACTCCATCCATCCATCACTCCATCCATCCATCCATCTCTCCATCCATCCATCCATCCATCACTCCATCCATCCATCCATCTCTCCATCCATCCATCCATCTATCACTTCATCCATCCATCCATCCATCTATCACTCCATCCATCCATCACTCCATCCATCCATCTATCACTCCATCCATCCATCACTCTATCCATCCATCACTCCATCCATCCATCACTCCATCCATCCATCCATCTCTCCATCTCTCCATCCATCCATCTATCAATCCATCTATCAATCCATCCATCACTCCAACAATCCATCCATCACTCCATCCATCCATCCATCTATCACTCCATCTATCCATCCATCCATCTATCACTCCATCCATCCATCTTTCACTCCATCTATCAATCCATCTATCACTCCGTCACTCCATCCATCCATCACTCCATCCATCCATCCATCCATCCATCTATCCATCCATCTATCACTCCATCCATCCATCCATCTATCAATCCATCCATCCATCTATCACTCCATCCATCCATCCATCACTCCATCCATCCATCCATCTATCTATCACTCCATCCATCACTCCATCCATCCATCCATCCATCCATCTATCCATCCATCTATCACTCCATCCATCCATCCATCCATCCATCCGTCCATCACTCCATCCATCTATCACTCCATCCATCCCTCCATCTATCAATCCATCTATCACTCCATCACTCCATCTATCCATCCATCCATCCATCTATCACTCCATCCATCCATCCATCTATCACTCCATCCATCCATCTATCACTCCATCCATCCATCACTCCACCCATCCATCCATCACTCCATCCATCCATCCATCTATCTATCACTCCATCCATCACTTCATCCATCCATCCATCCATTACTTCATCCATCCATCCATCACTCCATCTATCCATCACTCCATCCATCCATCTATCATTCCATCTATCCATTCATTCATCCATCCATCCATCCATCACTCCACCCATCCGTCCATCTATCACTCCATCTATCCATTCATTCATCCATCCATCCATCCATCACTTCATCCATCCATCCATCACTCCATCTACCCATCACTCCATCCATCTATTCATCACTCCATCCATCCATCCATCACTCCACCCATCCATCCATCTATCACTCCATCTATCCATCCATTCATCTATCCATCCATCCATCCATCCATCTATCACTCCATCCATCTACCCATTACTCCCATCTATCCATCACTCCATCTATCCATCCATCCATCACTCCATCCATCCATCCATCCAGCCATCTATCCCTCCATCTATCCACCCATCCATCCATCCATCTCTCACTCCATCCATCCATCCATCCATCTATCACTCCATCCATCACTCCATCCATCCATCTATCCATCTATCACTCCATCCATCTATCACTTCATCCATCACTCCATCCATCCATCTATCACTCCATCTTTCGATCAATTTCTATCTATATCGGTGTGTTGGCTCAGTGACTAGAGCGTCTGCCTCACAACCAGGAGGTCGTGGGTTCGAACCCCGGCCACGTCATACCAAAAGACGTCAAAAGACGCGAGTTGCTGCTACCTTGTTTGGCGTTCAACAATAGGGAATAGTGCAACGTCGATCTGGTGCTGCTCAGTGGCTGCCGGGCTCACGACCTTGATCAAGAAAACACCAACAGCTCAACTGCATTAAAGTGAAAATTGAAATAAAGTGAAAATTGAAATAAAGAAAACACACTTATCAATGATTGTTTATCAACAGTACAAATGTTTATTATATTTACACATTATAAACCAATAATCAAGGTGATTTTTTAATTTATTTACAAATAAATCAGCACATATCTACAAACATTATATAGTTCATAATTGACTGAGAACTGTCCAAGAATATAAGAGAATAATGTCAATTTTCCTCATGATCTCTAAAGGAGGCATGATGGCTCAGTGGTCTCGTAACCGGGAGGTCCCATGTTCGAAACCAAGTCAATACGTTAGTGCCCTTTGGTAAGGCATTAATTCTCATTACCAAATCCCTTGGAGAGGACTACAAGCCGTCAGTCCCCTGGTTGATTAATTACAAGCATGCACATGCCTCCTTGGCAGTGTGGTAAAACAAACAAACAAATGACGTTGCAATTCCAGCACTAAATTAGAGACACAGAATTCCTTATTTACTTGGCAATGAATACTAGACCATTTACATGTAGACCAACAATCACATCACCTGGAATGTGTACAATCCTAACTGCTTCGTGTGCTTAATGTACACATGTGTAGGCACACTAATTCAAGAAAAAAGAAAAAGGTAGCAATATTTGAATTCAAATTTCATCAGTTAAAGGTACTATGGCCCATTTGCAGGTCAAATGAAAAGGTTAAATTCAAACGACATTTGAAAGACAATACTTATTTAGAACTTCCTTCATAACGAAAGAGTTTGAAAATTGATTTTTGTGGAAAAACAACGACCATTAGTTGTCGAATCAACATAAGTGATTGCAATCACCTAAGTAATAATCTGCTTTTCAGACCCTTGTACCGAATGGTTGTATGTTTTGTGCTGCACAAAGATTCAATCAGTTTAATTTTGGCCATTACAAGTAGTGGGTTTTTGATGTAGACAAATGCTCATGTTTTGTGGGAAGCAAACAAATTTTTCCTATTTGCAAAATTATTAAATTTGGTTGACATGGTTATCGTTATATCATGTATTCATACATGCAATGTATCCATTTTTCAGCTATCTTGTAAGCAACCTAAGTGTGTTAATAAAAGAGCAATTGATCGTAAATATGTAAATAACAATTTTGGTATACTTATTAGTATATATTTAATTAAATGATCTAGGTAAAGATAAAAGAACAGTATACCTCTTGACCTATTGTTATACATCTCAAAATTCAATGTTATGTAATCCACTTCTTAGCTTTCAATAGTAAAGTGTCCTTAACAAGGTTGCATATGGCAGGTATTAATGCTAGAGCGCCATAATGGCTAGAGCGCTGTAATGGCAGCCATGCTAAAGCCAGGGTAAAAAAACTTTTTTAAACAAAAGATTAAAGCCCATTTGTTACAGTGTAAATGCAAACTTCAGTAAGATATTGATTTTTGCTCACGTGGCCCTCCTCACTTCAGTGCTAACAGGTCCAGGGCACTGACGAGTCGCACATGCACACTACTCATCAAAAAGTTGGTATGATCAAACTTCTATGGTTTTTGTATGGGTCTTCCCAGTAGTGAAAATGGTAGTCCAAAAAATTAATGATTTTTCAAAATGGTGTAAATGGGCCTCTCTTTCTCTAATTGTCTCAAGATATTTATTGCTACTAACTACAAATTACTCTTAAAGAAGATTTATGAGAAGCAACATTGTCAGCATGAAAGAATTTAAGACTATTTAGTCCTTGTATATAGCGCTATATGCTTCTAAAAGACTTTGGATAATATCAAGCAAGCTTTAACTCTGGCAACCGTAGCTCTCAGTGCATTCAAGGAATCAATCATGCCAGGTTCAGACTTACTACACTCAAGTACAGTGTGGTAAATGTGGATTAATGTCTTGCCACAGGACATTAGTGCTGTGGAAGGGAGATTTGAACCCTGTACCTTGTGGTTCAAAGTCCAGAGACTTATCCTCTAGACCACTACACTTCTTTGCATACATGTTGCCTAACATGAACCATGCTCAACTCATCAACCAATCATCAACATACGAGATGAAAATATATGGAATAATTCCTTCACGACTGCTATAATAGTACATGTATGAATATTTCGAAGTTTGCACAGATCCTATCACGTAAATAACAAAGCTAGCCCAATTGTTTGTATTCACAGTAAAGAAGAAAAAAAGGAAATGTGTGATGATGATTTATGTGATAAATCTACCTCCAACACATCCAATGTACACATGCTAGAGCTAAAACAAAGACACTTACATTTGTAGACCCTATGACACTTTTACTTTATGAGAAAAAAATGATAATTTTTTTTGCACATTCTTTTTTTTAAAATTGATATTTCATCAAATGGTTTATTTCAATGAAAATAGTAACCTGGTTTTGCATTATTTTCTGCTGCTTATTGTTTGTTAGGAGCTAATTTAATAGCACAACATGTCAGCTTTGCCTCTTATTCCATTTATTTTCCTGCAAATTTTGTGTATATATAAAATTGAGAAATTTGTCACGCAGATGTGATCTAAACATGACTTTTTACAAAAAATGATATCCATCACTGTATCAAATAGCGCAAATCCTCCTGCATCTCTGTGAAATATCTGAGAATTAGCTGATATCTGAGAAGGAACAACAACAGTAATGAGCTCAGGTGTCCTAACAGGTATTAACAAACAATACCACGTACTGATTCATACCAGGCATGTTTTAGCTCTATTTCCTTGACAGGCAATAGTCAAGTAACGAGGGGATAATATTTCAAGAAGGTGGTTTGGATTCTAACATTGTCGGCAGAAGGAAGGAAAGAGAGAAAGAGAGACATTGTTATTGTATTATGAATTCAAAATATTTTAAAATTATATTACTGAAAGAAACTTTGGATACAGGTGAGCTATTGTCACAGGAGTGTATCCGAGGGGTGTTTTAGAAGGATGAAATATGAACTACTGCCTGGTTTCAGGCAATAGAAAACTCTTTATTTCACTTGATACCCGTAGTATAAAATAGGCTGGCTGTGGTACAGTATTTTGCTATAGACTGGCCCATTTATAAATCTATATTTCAAGAGTATTTAGTGACTTGACACACACAGCACATCCAGGGTTTTCTTATCATTTCCTGGAGCACTGCTCAACAACAAAAAAGGGAACAAAAAGAAAGAAGAAGTTTCTCAACAGGAATGATAAAAATATTAACAAATATGAGAAATAGATAAATTTTACGCCCATTATCTAGGGTTACTCTTTTGTTTCCTCTTGGTAAAAATGATTTGTTGGATTGAGTAGACACTCCAATTTCTCCATTCTTGGGATAATGCCAAGTAAGTTAGAATTCACTCAACATCAAGTCTTTACTTTGCCTCTACAAACAATCACTGCCTGATTTAAGATCTTAATGTTGACCCTGTCATGAATGGTCACCGTCCCTATTAGATGAGGGTTCTGCTGATGCTCCTGCCCCAGGTGCGGAACTGCTTGGTAGACTGGATACTCCATTGGGTGTGGTCATGGTGTTGGGCGTGTCATGAATGGTCACCGTCCCTATTAGATGAGGGTTCTGCTGATGCCCCTGCCCCAGGTGCGGAACTGCTTGGTAGACTGGATACTCCATTGGGTGTGGTCATGGTGTTGGGCGTGGCATCGTAACCAAGCTTCTTCATGTCTCTTGAGATGATGTTGAACTGACACTTGATGCTACCCTGGGAGCGGACTCGGGTTACTGTGGCCAGAGTGAGAGAGAGAGACACGGAGAGAGAGAGAGAGAGAGAGAGAGAGCGAGAGTGAGAGTGAGGGAGAGAGAGAAAGAGAGAGAGATATTATTTTTATCTTTACATTCTTTCCCTAATACAGATGCAATATTTTACAGTTAAAGTAAGGCACATATATGAGACCATAATATATTGTGACATAGAAAAGGATATAAAAACCTCCACAGACAGGTTTATGAAAACAAATAAGAGGATTGAAATGCATTTCATATACACTAACATCCTTATAGACAAACAAAGAGGACTCCTATTGTGTACCCATTAATAGACTGAAAGCAAAAAAACAAGAATATTGTGGAACAATTTGGGTGAGATTTAAATTGTGCCAAGTTTATGGAAATTGAAAACTAATCAAATATAGATTTAATATGCAGACCAATGTTTGATCATACACTCATGATAATGTTCATATATATAATGAAAGAACTGTACATGAGCCATGAGCACCGAAAGGTGGACCTGTGCGCTATACAAGTAGCCACTATTATTATTATTATTACATGCCATAATATAATGATCAACAAGAGATCTTGATTGGGTCTTCATGCTTCAACATTATGCTGCATATCATCCAGGGGTAAAATAAGTGTAACATGATTAACTTCACATTTCTATATTACATATAACAAACAGATATTAAAGTGAGAGTAATATGAGTGCATTGTAGGTATGTGACTGTTGTTGCACGCGTCTAACTTTTTTAATTGCCACTTGACAATCACTTAAACTTGCATGTTTAACAAAAAAAATGCAAGGTTTATCTTACTACATCAAAGGGAAGAAATTTAACCTTTGTGGCCTACATGTACTTCTCACTGTATACCTGACTTAATTGTGGAGGTGAACTTCTAAAGGTCTACCCAGTAACCTTTCACTCTAAAAGAAAAAGATATTTGATAGATCTACTGGTAGTATGGTACAAGGAAACAGCACAGAAAGGATCTACCAAATGAACTACAAAAACAATAACAATTTAACATAGAGCAGAATCCAATACATGTAGGTTAATGACTAAAGGCCAAATGTAAATTTGATAAAGATATTGACACTTTAGAGGTTGACCTGCAGATTCACCACCATAAAATAACATACTCCTACAGTATAATCTGATGCGTGCTATCAGCTTTCTCAGAACTTTGAAATGTTTTGGTACAATATGATGGTGCCTTCCTTCTGTCAGTTTGCCTCACCATCACATAAACTGGTACAGACCTGGCGATTCCGATTCACTCACACTCTGAGTATAGACCAGTTTTGGAAACGCCCCCTCTCAACAAATGAAATGGAAGCTCTTATTACCAATCATGTGAAAGAATATGTTTTGACTAATACGTGATAAAACATATTTTGCCGGGAAACCGCCTACTAATTAATATACAATTTGGTAAATTATCATATCATTCCGGCTTGGATAGATATCACGAATGCACTTCAACATCGAACACTTAGGCATATATTTCTGTTTTTTTGCGTATTTAGGTTGAAGTATTGCCATCTAAACATCAGAAGGCAATATTTAAAGAATATTAATGGATATTTTGCACCCCAAACCCTTGAACCGCAGTTTTACCACTACCGGTCTTTACCCCTTTAACCAAATGATTTTTAATTTATCAGAGTACCGATCATTCGATCCTAAACTCTTGAATTATAGACCGTTAAAATAACTTTGTTTTGGATTCACATTCAGTAATCCAATATGTTGGACAAGCAATAACTTTCCACTCTCGTCATATGAATTAAATGTCAATACCTGCTGAGGATTCTAAATGTGTAGTGTTCCTAACCGTAAAAATTGTGTAGTAGTGATCATGACAGGTGCAAAAACTTTCACAACTTGTGCACATGGTCCTGATTCACATAGATTTCTACTCTTTTATACAAATAATAATTATGCCAAGTAAATGACCATCATTAAGAATGCATCTGATTTTACATTAAAGGTTTAGACCAGTAGTGGTAAAATATCCATTCAATGTTGTTTAAATATTGCCTTCAGAGGTTAAGATGGCAATACTTCAACCTAAATTCACAAAAAAGCAGAAATATATGCCCAAGCTGTTGAATGTTGAAGTGCATTCGCGATATCTATCCAAGCCCGATCGATATGATAATTTACTGAATACCGGTATATCAATTAGTAGGCGGTTTCCCGTCAAAATTTGTATCATCATGAATTAGTAAAAACATATTCTTTCACATGATTGCATGGTATTAAGAGCTTCCATTTCATTTTTGAGAGGGGTTGTTTCCAAAACTGGTCTATACCTTTAATCCAAGATAGATCTGTGTATGAGGTATGCTCTGTATATGATATTAATCTTACCTTCTCTGCCCTCTCCTCTAGCAACCACATTCGTATCAACATACTCAGGCCTCCTTCCCATGAACCATCTAAACAAAACATGAACAGAGATACAAACACAAATAACAAATAATACTTTCTTCATTATAAAGCAGTCTATATAAGAGGTACAGAATCCATGTGAGAAATACCTTTCAGAATTGTAGACTTATCCCAGTCAGTTAGATCAATTAAAATGAAATAAATTGCCTCTATCCTCAATGTGAATTATGAATAGCGACCCTCATCTCACATTATGAAAAGCGGTCCTTATGTCTTTATGAATAGTGACCCCCTTTGCATTCAAAGAATAGCGGTCCTTCAGGTATAGGAAGTTACACGTTATAAATAGCGGTTCGATGACTAGCGAGATTTTTAAACCATTATTTCAGGCTATTCTCATTACAGGTATACACCTTTGTGGACAAATCTAGTATTTAAAAAAACAAGGAATATCTTTGTTTGAAATAATGTAAAACATGGTCTCATTGGTAGCAAGAGAGTGTCTATACATGTACACTGGCTGTTGTTGAAAACAACAACCCATTTTAGGTAACCGCGTTGGCTGCTCCAGAATATGTTATATGCCAACATTTTGTAATTTATTAATAACCATACTGCTCTTACAGTATACCGCACTTGTACCATTACGAGTAACCAATCACAGTGCTTCAGAGTTTTTGTTTTGCTTTTGTTTTTGTGTTTTGCTGTTTTTTTTATGATCTTTAAACTACATCCATGGCAATGAAAAGCACACTCTAAATATTATTTTCAGGTAAATATATAAATTAAGAGGGACTTCAAAGTAAACCAGCGAGACAATACCCCTCCTCTAAAGGGCTCAACAATCTTAGTCTGACTCTGCTAGTACCCCCCAATGTTACCCGGTAGGATGCGGCCGTCATTGTCGGTCAAACAGCTTGTGAGCGTCAAGTAACGCCCAGCTGGAATGCTCCCCAAGGAGTGGAGATTGTGCACACAGTGTGTGCGGGCAAGCACTGAATCCAATGACCGGGGTAATAGAATATTTGTAAAGCGCTTAGAGACATTTGTATTAAGCGCTATATAAAAATTAAATATTATTATTATTATTATTATTAAGGATAAAGCTCATGCATACAGACAGACTCAATCATTTCAAATTCGGAAGTCTGATAACAAGTTAGGGTGGAGCTCTTCCAAAGGGACGGTGTCTGGCCCAATAATCATGTGATAGTTTTTTGTTTTGTTTTGCTGTGTGCACTTAATAGCTCAGCTCCGAGGTCACATCACTTCAAGCTATGGTAGTGCTCTCGTGATCAGTTCACTGCTATGATTTGAAGCAGTCTAACATTACATATTATATTTTATAAACTGTAAACACACGTACACGTACACATTGCCTTATTTGCCTATAAAGGAAAGCTTTTACCATGACCTAGTCACAGCAGCGGACCAGCGAAGCACGGGCGCAAAGAGTTTCCAAGCCAGGAATTATATTACGACTCGACTACCTTGACACGACAATAAAGAACTAGACTTATAGGCGTAAATAGTCAAATTTGACTGAACGCCATAAATACAACCAACAACAACAACCTACATGTAGTCACAACATCAAAAATCACAAACAGAAAAACACGCTTGAAGAAAAGAGATGGTAGCACTTGAACTATACAAGTACTGTCGCTGAAGGATAAACCCAAAAGGTCAACGTCTCATTATTCTCTCCTTGATTCCTTTCTCATGTACTTAATCCCCTTTAAACAAAATAAGGAGAGGAGGTCGTAATACTCCAGGTTAGTAGTAGAATTTCAGTAGTAGAATTAGAATTAGTGGTAGTTGTGGTGGTGGGGTTGGGAGTGGCAATGGTAGTGGTTGTAGTAGTGGTTGTCATACCTGCCAACATTTGAAAATAAGAATTAGGAATTTCTAGCAGGGCTCGCACGGCCTTACCATGTACATGTATGCAGCGGCAGTGTATTAAACTATATGCGGTAAATCTGTGTTTTTTTTAAAAGCGAAAAGCAAATTTGCTGCCCGATCATGCAGCCATTCAACACAGGCAATAGGCAAGCACTCAAATCGCGGCACATGATAAATCAAGCTAAATTAAGGAAAAAAAATATAAAAAAGTGTTCTTTGAGAATGTTTAGGTCCTAAAAATCCAGAAAATCAGAATATACTCCGGATAATTTAGAAGGGTTGGCAGGTATGGGTTGTGTTGGAAGTGATGGTGGTCAACATTATTAGTAGTTGTGGGAGTGTCAACAGTGGTGGTGATGGTGATGATGGTGGTGGTGGTGGTGGTGATGGTGGTGGTGGTGGTGGTGATGATGATGATGGTGGTGGTGGTGGTGGTGGTGGTGGTGGTGATGGTGGTGGTGGTAGTGGTGATGATGATGATGGTGATGGTGGTGGTGGTGGTGGTGATGATGGTGGTGGTGGTGGTGGTGATGGTGGTGGTTACGATGGTGGTGGTGATGGTGGTGGTGGTGGTGGTGATGATGATGATGATGATGGTGATGGTGGTGGTGGTGGTGGTGATGATGATGGTGGTGGTGGTGGTGGTGGTGATGATGATGATGGTGATGGTGGTGGTGGTGGTGGTGATGATGGTGGTGGTGGTGGTGGTGGTGATGGTGGTGGTTACGATGGTGGTGGTGATGGTGGTGGTGGTGGTGGTGATGATGATGATGGTGATGGTGGTGGTGGTGGTGGTGATGATGGTGGTGGTGGTGGTGGTGGTGATGGTGGTGGTTACGATGGTGGTGGTGATGGTGATGGTGGTGGTGGTGGTGGTGATGATGGTGGTGGTGGTGGTGGCAGTGATGGTGGTGGTTACGATGGTGGTGGTGATGGTGGTGGTGGTGGTGGTGATGATGATGATGGTGATGGTGGTGGTGGTGGTGGTGATGATGATGGTGGTGGTGGTGGTGGTGATGGTGGTGGTTACGATGGTGGTGGTGATGGTGGTGGTGGTGGTGGTGGTGATGGTGGTGGTGGTGGTGGTGATGGTGGTGGTGGTGGTGGTGATGGTGGTGGTGATGATGGGGGTGGTGATGGTGGTGATGGTGGTGGTGGTGATGGTGTTAGTGGCAGCAGCAGCAGCTGAGGTAGCAGTATCAATTTGGAAAAAAATTGGACACACAAACATGAAAATAATGATTATAACCATAATTGCACCTACATGTTACATAATGGTACATAAAATGCAATATGTGGTAAAAAGTTATTATTATACAAATAATGAATGGTTATGAGTTCAATAGTGCGAATATTTTCATGAGTTGAAAGATTAACATTCTATTCAACGAGGCGTCAGCCGAGTTGAATAGAATTAATGTTAATCTTTCAACGAATGAAAATATTCGCACCATTGAACGAATGAAAAACATTCATTATTTGTTTTATACAACATCGAAGAAGATCTAATAGAACGTTAATCAACAAATTATGCTTTACTCCTTATATTAAAGATAAATTCAAGTTGGATTCAAGCCTTCTCGATTACATTCAGATTGCCTTCGCATCAGATACACGCAGGGATACGCGCGCGCACGGCAGAGAGGTACGCAGTCTGCATATAACCAAAAATGCACGGCGCATATAACCAAAAATGCACGACCGTGCAATATACCATCTATTGAATATCATGTGACCAACAATCCTCCAATCAAATGACAGGGATCCACGTAAGTGTTGTATAAAATAGATTATTTTATCTTATAATAAACATTCATATTACATGCACATGGTCACATGAAGACAAAGTCATCATCGTCCTGATAAAAACAAACCCAACCTGATACTCCTGTAATTGAGCAATAAAAATAATATATAAGATGAGGGTTGAGTATACATACTGGTATTGTATTCAAATTAATGGATGTAACCTAAACTACCTGTACATGTACTGTACATCAGTCACCCATCCCGGGCCCCTCATTAACTCCTTATTTAATTATGCATGGGGCCCTATAGAGCTTTCATTTAGACATTGTAATGTTTACCTTGACACTAAAAAACCAGGCTTACATATTATGATTGTTCATCATCATGAAGATGTGGGGCGGGTGGCAGTGGTGAATATTAATGTAGGGATCAAACCAGTCTCACTCATTAAAACTAAAATGTGATTAACCACAACCTCAGACATATCACACGAGAAGCTTTGAGATACCATAAATCTCATGTTACTACATACTATAAACCATCAACCTGCTGGTAGAAAATGCTATACATAAAATAGAAATCGACTATCATTTTAGTGGCCAAATAAATTTGAATTCTGCATACTTAAAAGGAAAATGAAACCTTTTATTGTAACCTATGTCATTATGTAGAGGACATTAAAACTCACATTTTCATACAACAATCAGGTTCGTAGGGTGTGTATACAGGTATTCACTAAAGTTTCCAAATAAGAAGACAGTTATCGTCAGCTATAAGTTCAGATGTGAGCTAAAAAAAGGAACAAGATCTGAAATTTTCTTAGTGACTTCAAACGACTGATTTCAAATTATTTTTTGAATTTTTCAAATGATCAATTATTATTTTTTGACTTTCATTCTCCTTTGTAGAAAAATATCCTGTGGTTGTTAAACCATAAAAAGTTGGCATTTTCTTTAAAACATTTCCTTTTACATGTAGATGTATTGTTTATACATGATAACTGATTGTGAATTAAGTGGCAAACGGCATAATTTGGTGCAGGAACCACACATAACAATTTTCAGACATTTCATACATGACTTTAATGCCACTAAAACATTGCATTGTGGAGATGTTATGGTATAGTGGTTCCTTCACTTGAATCCCAGCTCGGCACTAAAGTCCTTTGGCAAGATTAATCTATATTTGCCACTCTCCACCCAGGTGGATACCTGATAGGATGCAAAGGTTAGTCTAGTTTGTTCAGCATTACCAAACCCATTTCCAGTAAAGATATGAGAAGACCTTCCTTGTTCCCATCACAAGAGGGCTCACTTCAATACTCTATACTGATGATAGTTGAGGAATCTAAACTTACCCTAAGAACTTCTGGAATCTTGAAGAAGCTTCTGGTACAAACATCGGAACTATTCTGGAATGCCTATCACAGAAAAATTGAACACTTATTGTTACAATAAATACTTCCATAGCATCTAGTGATACATGACATCATTCAACAAAAAATAATAGCAGTTTACAAGTCCATGCAAGGGTATGATGGGAACACACTGTGTCTCCTGCATTCATCTCTGATGCCAAAAGGTGTTTATTTTCCTAAAAATAAGGATTGTTGAATGCTTATCATTGATGTTTATACCCTTCAAATTAGTCTACTGTATATCAATGCTACATGTATATGTCTATGTTTCATGGTAATAACTTATAGTATAACTATGGGCATCAACAAAGCTCTCTCCTTTGTGAATTTATGACACTCAACTTATGGAAATCAGTTCTCTAAAATATATTGCTACCAGGTACAAATAAAACAGTAAATGTTATCCATGATAGTGTTGAGGAATAAGGTTTTCAGTTCATTGTTCAGGTTTACGTTAAGTCAAACCACATGTATTTTCCTCAACCATCTTCTCATTCAGACCTCTCTAAAACACAAAAAGAAGAATTGAAGATTTCCTCCAATCCTTAGGACTGACAACAATCTCACAGGATATAAAGATGGGTAGACTGAGATGGTATGGTCATGTGGTTAGGAGGAAAGAAAAGAAAAACATTAGCTTCAGAGAGCAATGACCTTCTAGAATCCAGACTGGGGGCATTTCACAAAACTTGTCATCAGAGACAAATAACAGATTTTGTTATAAGCTACTGAAATCCTTGCTTCTGATTGGTTGTCAGCAGATTTGTCACTGGTTTTTGTCATTGGTCATTGAAAAAAGGCTTTGAGAGCCAGGTCCCAGGTTGCGGGCTCAATACCTACGGTAGACCTTGCAACACCTGGAAGGAGACACTAGGAGAAGATAGAGAGCATCTGGCCTCATCCAGCTGGATGCTGAAGGCCAGAACGCTGAGTCGATAGCTCAGTCGGTAGAGCAGTGGTCTCGTAATCCGGTGACCCAGGTTCGAAACCAAGGCGATGCGCTAGTGCCCTTTGGTAAGGCATTAATCCTCATTACCAGGTCTCTCGGAGAAGACCTAAAGCCGTCAGCCTTCTGGTTGCTTACTAACAAGCATTTATGCTTTCTTATCAGTCAGGTAAAATAACCACCACTACCATATGTAATGAGGGAATGAAACACCAAGCCCTACAATGTGAGAAAAGGATGGCAAACAATGATGATGAATCAACCGTTTTTAAAATATATTTGTTTTTTGAAGTGTTTGAGTTACCTTCCTGGTGTGATAGGTATGTGTACTGCTCCATACCCCCTGGCAACAGCTGTTCCAAAAGCATCTAAACCATACACACTCAAAACCAACTGAGGCCCTGCATGAAGACAGACAGGAAGACAAAGGGGGAGGAAGGGAGAGAGATGGGGAGGAAGGGAGAGAGGAAAGGAGGGAGAGAGGGGGAGAGAGAGAGAGAGAGAGAGAAAGTAATATATCACATTTAGGCACATTTGGAATCCTTACAGGAGATATTTCTGCAGCCTGAAATATATTACAATGCACTTTATAGAGACTTTGGTGGTTAGCGCTTTAGAAGCACCATTTTTATTATTAATATTATTACTATTAAAACACAACTACAAACATTATAACAATTGTTTTCTGCTGATATTTACCAAAATACTGAAGACAAATGAATTTCAATAAACCATGAAATAACTCCTACTTCCTGAGTAGGTTGTCTTTGCACTGATCATCATTTCATCAATTAAAAATCTTGCTCTCATACTTTTGAGAAGATGTATCAGGGGATCTACTTCTAGGTGTTTACCTTACAGTAGGATTACGGTTGCACCATGTGAGAAAGACGGGGGAAGATTGGGGAGTCCTGAAAACGACTGCTGGTAATCTTTCTTGAGCTTTTTAGAGTGTAGTTATCTTTTAGTAATCACTTTGATGGGTCTTTGTAAATGCAAACAAGTACATCAAATAGAATTCAAGGAACTATACTGGAAGGAGGTTATCCTGATGTACTAAATAAGGGCCATTTTTACTACATGTCCTCAGTTCTATATCGATGCTGGGACTGAGAATGTTCTATGAAACAAACTACAGTTCAAAACCAAATCCGATGCATATCAGGACTTTTCATACCAACACTAACATTCCATATAGTTACACATCTCATAATTGCTCCATTTCTTTTGGAATTGTAGAACTTTGCACAATAAGAACCCACTGCACTATCCATTAAAGAGTAGGGGTTAACCCTTGTGTAGTGGTCCACCTGCGCACCCCTAATCAGTTATACAGGGAGGAGAGACCCAAGGGCCACAGTGATTCAGTTCAGGCTCAGGTGACAAAACATACTTAATCAATAGTGATAACTTATTTTCTCAAATCTTCCATGTGATTTGAGCAAGCCGTTTGATGATCTAGTATTACATGTACTTACAGCCATATGGGTTGGTGCTCTTGAATGTCACATCTAGAGGGAAGTTCCACACAAAGTATTGGTTTCCATAAACGTTTTTTTTACACACCTGTGAAATACCTTCCTCAAGACCCTAGGGTAAGAAATACATTTTAAACAATTAGGATAACGAATACAGAATAAAATGCATCAATTAAAAACAAAAAACAATATATTATGAAATAAAACTTATGAGAGAGAACAATGGCAGACCCAGGCTATCTACATTGTAGGTCAGAACACAACCACAGGCCCCCCCCCCTCCCAAACATGTGTACATGTTTGTGATAAGACCTGAATCATGCTGCTTTTTTCTTTTTTTCTTCTTCTTCTTCTCATTATTTTCCTGGAAAAGATTTTTCAAATTTATTCCCCCTGAGGCCCTATGAAAATACATGTATGTCACCAAATCTTTGATTTACAACTTTGAAAATGTAACTACCGTATTGTTCTGGTCAGGTAATTTACCTTATCATACCCTCTACATGTATGTCTATCATATTACATTTATGTAAAGGTAGGCCTACATGTCTCAAAGAATACAGGGGAGTGAGAAAAAAAAGAGAAAAAAAAGAGAAAAAAAAGAAGAAAATTTGTAGATTAAATAGGACAGGACATTAATTGAGAGGTAATCCTTACAAGTTACAATGCCATCTGATAGACAAGATATCAGTTTATCAATTAACGGTGATAGTACATTTTCCATAGGTCAAATTGATGCAAAAGTATCTTATGAAATCTTAATTAACAAAACATGAACAATTTCTCAGTTTAAAAAGAAAAGCCTTCCTTTGTCAAAAAAAGAAAAGATTTGGTCCTTTAACCCATAGCGCATATTTTGATAATGCACATAATTACTCAAAGACTCCAACACAAAGAAGGCTTAGCCTTAAATCAATATCAAACAGCTTAATTTTCTACAGGTACATAGTAGTAGAGGGAGAAGAAACGATTGAAACAATAAACATATAATAGAGGAGGATAACGACTGTTGAAGTAAGTTACTTACGCTTGTAATGACCCAGTCTGGACCATAAACAAAGTTGTATTTGACGTACAAATCATCAAACTCTGGAAACTGAAGATCAGAATTAAATACAAAAAGAAAAGAAAATTGTAAATTCTATGAGTATTCATATTCATATTCATATTTATTTCATTTCCAACAGAAAGGTAAACAAAGATATTACATTTGATTTCATACATAATTCATTTTTTCAAGAAACTATACAAATAAACTTTGCACATAATAAAATTATTACAAGAATTTCTTAATTTCTGAGGAAATGGGGGGGATCCACTAAAAAGCAGTGCTTGTAGGTTGTGGATCCCCCAGAAAAAAATAAAAATATAAATGTTTCAAATTTTGGCTACGAAGACTTAGAAAACACAAGACAATATTTCAAAACAACATACAATTTACAAACACGAAACGAACAAGGAGAAGTAAAACAGATAAGAAGGAAAGGGGAAAAGGGGGAAGAAGGAAGAAGAAGAAGAAGAAGAAGCAGGACAAATCATGACTGGAAAAAGTAAGTTATAATGATAATTTTGGGAAGGTAAGATCATAAGACCAAATAAATATTAAATTAATAGAGCAGATGATGAAGACCTAAATGAAAAATGAAGATGATTACCAACTGTTATCAGATTATTCTTGTATATTACTATAAGGTACTACAGTTTGAGGCTGAATATTATGATTTTTAGCTTTTAGTAAATGAATTAAAAAAAACACTTTTCAAACACTAGCACTAGGGCAATTCCACGGTAACGGAAGGACACTCGGACAAGATTTTTGAACTTCAGGTTCATACTAAAAGAAATGTTTTATTAGTATGTATTAAACTATGGGGAACAAAATGTGTTTCAGTCAAGTGGAAAGCTTCATCAACTTCAAAAAGTTTGGATAAACACTAATTAACTGGAAAAACCATGTCCATTTTTATGTCCTTCCGTTACCGAGATAATTAATATGCACATTCTTAAACTACTTAACTATAATGACAATTTTTGGGGGGAGAATTAAAGGCACTTATATAGGTATTATATCTGTACTGTTTCACATCTTATACTAATAAAACAAGTCTTTTAGTATGAACCTGAAGTTCAAAAATCTTGTCTGAGTGTCCTTCCGTTACCGTGGAATTGCCCACTAGCTAAACTCTTATACTGTACATGTACTGTGCATGTACGTATATGTTAACTGTTATTAACTTCAGAATAGATACAGGTAGCCTACACAGATTACATGCAATGTATGTCCCTTTTGCAGGCCAAAAAAAGAAACATAGGTTAAATTCCAATGGCATTTAAAAGACAATACCAATTTAGAACTTCCCTCAAAATGAAAAGGGCTTGAAAATGGCTTGAAAAACTATATATAGTTGTTGAATCGACTTGAGTGATTGTAGATCAACTTACGTGATTGCAATCACCTAAGTAAAAAGTCTGATTTTAGACCCTTGTACTAGTTGTACCGAATGGCCATACATTTTGTGGGGGGGGGGGGGGGGGGGGGGTTTGAGTAAAAAAAAAAATTGGGGTAAATACATAATTGCAAACGATACGAGTACGCTGGTTTATTTTACACGTTTGGAGGGAGGTTTTTTCATAAACCTGGAGATTGCAGGAGCGGGAGGAAGGGGGTTGTGGCGGGAGTCTCCCGCTACTAGCTGGTGGGCCGGCGGGAGAATGTGCGTGGTGGCGTGAGACTCCCTCTAAATGCGGGAGGGTTGACAGCCATGTGTACTGCATGCTAAGGTCCGAAGGATGAGGCAGCAATTGCACACTAATGCACACATTGAATGAATACGATGTGGCTGATCGCCAGTTTGAAGATCTAGGCTCACGATTCTTTCTAACATCGGTAAGTACTTAAAGTAGAATAATTTGTATTTTACTGCTATTTAGGTGTTATCAATTGTCACTAAACTAAAGTACCGATTTTGAGTGAACTCAGCTCAGCAGCTCAATTGAGCTTTGAACAGAGTACACACAAAAATACACTCCAGCAAAGCATAGAGAGTCATCGTATTGACCTTTAGCACTGCACTACGTGCTAGCAGGCATCATTTGGGTACATGAATAGTCAATACGCTCATAACGCAGAGATGCACATAATCATTCCGATGCGACTGATCGGCAAGTTTGACAGTGGACTCACAATTTGAATTTTTTAATTATTCTTTTTAACATCGGAAAGTTGAAAAAATTGTATTTCACTGCTATTTAGGTATCATTAATCGTCACTAAAGTATCGATTTTGGGTGAAATCAGATGAGTTTTGTACAGTGGTGTTTGAAATGTTGAGAATCAATAGCACAGCTTTTAATACACAGCCAGGATAGTAATGCAGCTATGTATGACAAAAATACACTAGATCTATACAGTGGTGTTGAAATGTTAAGAATCAGCGCCAGCTATGGCTATGCAACTAAACGAGGATAACAAAGGTCTATATTTAATTCATAATGGCTCAGGGCGAGGGAGTGCATTTTATTCAGTACTTGAATGACTCTTCGTTACTCACATCTCCTCCTTCAATCTGACCGCTCATCATGAGCAAAAACACAGTCGGAGTTGTTGCCATCTTATTTGCTCTTGCTCTTCTAATATTCCCGCAAAACTATTTCTCATGGTCGCGGTCGGTCATCACGTCAACCGATATTAAGAGATTGGGATCAGTCCTTTATTGAGATTCGCGCTAGGCACATTATCATCTTGTTGTAAGAAATGGTTCCAGTCTTGTTATGATCGTGTACTTGTGCATGTGTTGTGAGCTTAGAGACAGGCAGACTGGAGCGGCCCTAGTAATTCCAGCTGGGTACGGGGGCGCGCTGCGCTCCCGGCGCGGCGATCAGCGTACATACATGTATCGTGCAAGGCCTGCCTGTATATTCATTTGGAGCGTATCTAGATCTAGAAGGGCGTGATCGTGATGAAGATGCACACCAGATTTTCACTCTTTTTGCTAATCATCTGTTTGACATTATGGAGAAAATGTACAGGAAAACAGGTATGTAGATAAACAACCTTTTCGATTGTTTCTATTAGTTTCGAGACAGTTTCTTTCTCAATTATCTAATGACACTTTTCATGATGTCGAATTTCTGCCATTCTGAATCTGAATCTGCAGATCTGCAGACACTTAAACTTATATCACCCTCTTACTCTTAGACTGCACTGCCTAGTTTAGAATAGATGTCCAGTGCAGTAGTCAGTAGACTTAGTTCTGTCGTATGTTTTCACAAGTACAAGTAGAAGTAGTAAAGACAAGAAAACGGAGGATAATTAAAGCAGCCTGATAACATTTATTTCACACTCGTGTTGCCGTGCGATGCTCATTTTGTCATGGTCGACTAGCGATTAACATGTCACTGTCAGATTTCGAACAATGCCACTTTTAACTGATTTTTATGTTTCTATTAAAAGTAAGTTATTTTTGGAGTGGACTTGTCCTTTAACAGCAGGCAATTGTGATGGATCCTCAAGTTTTTAATCTTTAAAAATGTGCTTTTATCTTTCTTTGTAAATACTGGCACTATGTATACACACCTTTCACCTGCACACCTGGGCATCCCCATGTCGCCACACACATGCACTCGCACACATCTGCAAGAATCTTCAGCAGTGAAGGAGGCAGATTATTTTGAAGAAGAAGAAGAAGAAGAATTAATATAATATGTCAGGATGTGATTAATTTCTCTTCTTTAATTGCTGTTGAATATTTAATTAAATGATGTCCTAGCAATTCCCAAAGAATGTTATTCAATGTGGATTCATGATATTATATTTTATTTGGTTTCTTTGACATATTTGATAGAATTGACTTTGAATGAGAATGATGTTTATGTTTTTCCTGCTCTCATCCAGATACTTGCAGATGTAACTAGTAACAAGCTGACTCGACAGCATGATGGTAGCTATGGCTTATGGTCCTATCATGGGTAAACGTCTTCATTATTCACATCATGAATTTATGTCATAATTATTCAGCACAGATTAAATGCTTAAATTATACAATCATCCTGAAACCAAAGGATCGACACACTGGTAAAAATAAATGTTAGAAAATTAAAATGGCCGAATACCACCTCACGGACATTAATATGTTTTTAAAATCATGTAGACCTCTATAGAAAGTTCCACTTTCGGGTTTATTACTCATACAACTTTAAAGGTACTATGTCCCATTTGCAGGTCAAAAAATGAAAAGGTTAAATTCCAACGGTATTTGAAAGATAATACTAATTTAGAACTTCCATAAAAAAAGGTGGGGCTTGAAAATATCTTCAAGTGGGAAAATAACGACTATTAGTTGTCAAATCAACTTAGGAGCTATAGAGCCAATAAGTAACAGTCTTGATTGTTAGACCATTGTACCGAATGGTCATACGTTTTATGCTGCGCAAAGATTCAATCAGTTTTATTTTGGCCATCACAAGAGTTGTGGGTTATTGATGTAGACAAATGCTCATGTACCCTTTACAGCTCATTTTATGTATGTTATTACCAAAGAAAAAAAAAGCCAGTCAGTCACTCAATAATGTCTGACAGTGAAGTCTAGCAAGTAAACAGGTTTCCTTGCATAATTTGAATATTAGGACACTGCTAACGTTCAAATTTCACAGATAGGACATACATAACATATTCATAATTCCTGCAAAGTTCTACAGAGTTTGAGGTTGGCTGCAAAACGGACATAGTATCTTTAATAGGAACAAAATCGACATGTTCCATGCATGACAAGTTTTGTTCCCCCTTGATCGAAAAAGAGTACTGTCTCCTACATATTTACATAATGCACATACTATATCTATATCAATTAATGATTTTAAGTGTCAAAATGACTACTAAAATGTTGCATGTTGGGATGCCAAATTTAAGTTTACCTTCTGTAAGAATATATAAGACCATTACATTTTTGAACAATGACATGATATAACTTTCATGAACTCATTCTACTGTCAGCGGATTTGTCATACTATTATGTGCTTTTTAATATTATGTGTTCGTGATATTATGTCTGTTTTTTTTTCTTCTTTTCTTCATGTAATGCAGTGTTGCAAATGAGAGCCATGCTAGTAAGACAAGTTTCATCTATAATGGTGATCTGTTGATGTCTGATGGATCACAGCATGTAGACATAGCATCCACTGTATACCCTAGCTTAGGTCTCACATCTGATCAGGATCATGTATATCAGGTGAGTTAAACCTTTGACTACTGAATTCTCTAGTTCCCATAGGCTTAATACAGGGAACACCCGGTTCCAGTGGGCAATTGGTTAATAGAAATCTTTCTTTCTTTCTGTTGTCAAGAGCCCAACACACTCGGGTCTGTCATATGTCTTGAAGTTCAAGCATGTCAGTGGTATAGATTTTAGCTATTAGCTTTTTGTTTGTAATGTCAAGCTGAAAACATGGCATGGTTAGTGTGATGCCTTTCTCAAAGCAGTTTCCACGCAATGCTATCCTGTATGAGTAAAACTGCAAATGATTAAATAAATAGATAATCTAAGATTGTTTTTATAAAAAAATAGTAGTAGTAATAGTAGTGGTGGTGGTGGTAGTGGTAGTGGTAGTGGTGGTGGTAGTGGTAGTGGTAGTGGTAGTGGTAGTGGTAGTGGTAGTGGTGGTGGTGGTGGTGGTGGTAGTGGTAGTGGTAGTGGTAGTGGTAGTGGTAGTGGTAGTGGTGGTGGTGGTGGTAGTGGTAGTGGTAGTGGTAGCGGTAGTGGTAGTGGTGGTGGTGGTGGTAGTGGTAGTGGTAGTGGTAGTGGTGGTGGTGGTGGTGGTGGTAGTGGTAGTGGTAGTGGTAGTGGTAGTGGTAGTGGTAGTGGTGGTGGTGGTAATAATTATTATCGTAAAAAAATGATGATGATAAATGGTTGTAGGAGACATAAATCATTTCTAATGGTCAAACAATATTTGCTAAAGAGAAAAATAGAATTTAATTGTCTGGATCTGTACTGTCTAACTTGAGTCATTGTTTTAATTACTTTAATTCATTACATGAATTCACATTATTAAAACATATTTGTGGCTTACACCCAGTATCGATCAATCGATCTTATTTACTGGGTGTAAGGCACAAATATGTTTAAATAATTGAAATTTCTCCCAGGAAGCATTACATATATGAATTCACATGTATAGAAGATGAAGATGTAAGTTTATTTACTTTCTATCATCAATAGGAATATCTCATTCTTCAAGCCAAGGCAGTTGGTATCGATGGTTTCATGATTGAGTGGGTATGTACACTGTACTTGAGTTGTGATTCTATAATGTATTACATACATCGAACATTAACTGGTTGATATGAATCTGCTTGTACTAGAATTTAAGTTAATTTGCTGTTGCAATAATTTTATATAATTATTTAGAAAAGAAAATCATGGATGGAATGTAATTTTAAAAGTTTGATAGTTATCTGCTATGAACCGTTTCATTTGTGCATGTGTGTATGTGTTTTGTTTACTTAACAATTATGATTTACCAGAATGACTATGAAAGGCTAATGACTGGATATTTATGTTTAACTGCATATTGACTGAAATATTGAAACATGTGAAAATGTAATAATTTTAATAGAAATATTGACTGATCAGTATGCAGTAATAACTAAAAGGCTTCATGGTCTTGAAAAGTATGTTGTTAACAATATGATATATTTGGACTTTGCTATATTTAATTAATAGGGATATATGGACCATTCTAGTGATAGAGCTTTGAAGAGCTATCTTACATTAGCCCAGAGACACACACCATTCAAACTTGCTGTCAATTGGTACGTACTCATTCTTAACATTAAACTACCTCGAGTTGTAAGATCCATTATAAGTCAAAATATGCCTGCAAAACAAAAACAACAGCAAGTTGACAATAATGATTTAAAGCTTATCTGTACTTGTTTATAGGAGGGATTAGACGACCCTGCAAGGTCACTGGACTGGTGGTTATCTCATTAACTCAGCTCTCAATTAACATAAGAAAAAGAGGATCATGGGAGACGAATGGTTACCGATTAGGCATTGTTTTCTATATAGAGGGAGCAAGTAGCTACAAGTAGTACAGTGTGGCTTAAAGCAACATGTACCAGTAATACTTGATGAGGTATTTTATCAATGATCTATTGAGAGAAATTATTTACAATTACATTAATATCAAATGGATGTTGCCTTTGATGGTATTATTCTAGTTCTACATTGTAGAATGACTTTTTATTAAATAAAAAAACAATACATATTTTAAAGATAAGAAGTTAAGAGAACATTAAAAAATTTCAATCTCTTTTTTGTGTTTCCTTCCAATATTTCCCCTTGAGGTGTGACCATTGGTTGGCATCAGAATTAAAGAACAAATCATCTCAAGAGGTAAGTGTTATTAAAGGTAAAGACCAGTATTGGAAACGCCCCAATTTCAAAAAATGAAATGGAAGCTCTCATTACCAATCATGTGAAAGAATATGTTTTGACGAATACATGACGATAAAAAATTTGCCGGGAAACCGCCTACTAATTCATATATTTGGTAAATTTGTTTCTCTCATGGTCTGTGAGAGATATAGGGTAGTCCCATATACATCTTTCTGTGTATAGTGCTTGTAACTTTACAAAGAATGGGCCAAATTTCTTATCATTTTGATGATTCCAGAACCTTGCAGATGCTAGATGCTAGATGATCGACCTTTTCTGATCGATTCCACAACGTTTCTTTCACAATGCAATCGCATGACCATAACTGGTCTTTACCTTTAAACACTAAGATGATTTTTTACACTTTATGTGAATACACTGCAATAACAGTCTCACACTTAAAAGGTCTATCATTGTCATACATACTGTATATTTGTTTTAAGTAAAAAGTTGAATACAAGAAGGGTCCTGTATACATACATATATTGACTTTTTTAAAACAAGATTCTCCTTACCCCAAAATTAGAAGAAAAAAAATTAACAGAGAAGTCATTATCACTATTATTTGTAGGATTTTTTTTTCTGTAAATAGTAGTATATACTGGTAGTTGTTAAGATTTATTTTTGTTTTTTTAAATCATGTTTTGTATGGAGTACAGATATACTCTAAACCATAAAACTGACCCCAGTGCACAATGAAGCTAATAAATAGGCTTTATGCATGCTACCAAATGCTAAATCTCTTTTTAACCTCATGTATGCACTAAATATTAATCTGGATTTGACTTTGTGCATACACAAAATGTATTAAAATGTTATGCATCTGTGAAGGTTAAAGACCGTCAATACTACTGGGCCAGAAGGGATTAAACCATACAGTGAGGTCATTGACAGGTGGCTATCTCATTAACTCAGCTCTCAACTAACATCAGAAAAAGAGGATCATGGGGGACCAACAGGACAGTGGGGCTTTAAAGGAAGAAAAAAATCTGAATCTGACATAATCTGTGATTTGATCCTATTTGATTCACAGGTGATTGATGTGTTTCACAGTAATCTACAATACCTGATGGACACCATGTACAGCTCTCCTCTAGCATTATATCACCATGGTAACCCAGTCATCTTTTGGTTTGGAGGAGGACTTACATCAGGACAGTTCAGAGGTACATGTACATTTCGTTGTTTTGAAAATAAGAATTTTTTATATATATATATTTGCTACTTTATGATTCATCGTCTGAAAAATACTTATTGTACTTTATATTATTATTGTTATCAAAAAACTGTATACTTACATGAATGCAGAAGAAAATAAAATAAAATAAAATAAAATCATGTCACATGGGACTGGGAAATATTATTTCAAAACGCTCTGAAGTTTGCCCAGACCATGGCTAAGACAAATTTATGATAAATTTATGAGTCAAGTTGAGCACTGGTGTAGAGATGTGGGAATTCTCAGACTTGTGACAGTCTCTTACCATGACACCCCTATCTATAACATTGGTTATTTATTCCTACCATTGAATTTCAAGCAAAAGGTCCTACAAGGCTATACTTGTTAAGGGATCATTCACTGGAATCAGCCTGCCATATTCCATTTCATTTCTTCACTGCTTGGATATTGATTGTGAGGTTGTTTCATTCCTCATGTTACCATGCACCCTAGCACTCGGGACATTGGGCGCGTTCATGCTTGATTTTGACGGCCAGAATCAGGCATCTGTTACGCGTTTAGTTTAAAACACGCTTGCGTTCATGCTCACTTTTGTAGAATCACCGAAAAACGGCGATCACGATCGCCGATCGTAAACTCACAAAAAGATGCGTTTACAATTTGTAAACGCGTTTAAATGGGGTCAACGCACTGACCTCTAGTGGGTCTACGTAGCATGCGCACACAGGTTTGCGAATCCAGCTGAAGGCCACCCAAGGAGAATTGCCTGGAGAAGTGAGCATGAACAGTGCACCGTGGAACTGCGATTACGATGAGCGTTTACGATGAGCGTTACAAATCGCTCATTCTGCCTTCAAAATCAAGCATGAACGCGCCCACTGTTATTATATAAACAGTTTATTGTGTATTTTATCAAGAGTATTTTGATGTTTCTTGCAGCACTTCTGTCCATGCCCATCACCCTACCACCCGGTGCCAAGCCTCCTATTTGGATCGGAAGCTTCTTAAAATTCGTCGCTACCCCAGAACTGTGGGAAGAGTGGGGTAATCTATTGAATGGTACATTTGGCTGGTCCCCACACGGAATGAGACCAACACCAGCAAACATGTCTGAATGGGATTTCTATGGCACTGTTGATGATGCTGTTGAGTATCAGGTAAGTAGGCATTGACCATATTCAGACGTCACATTAGTGACCATTGACCATATTAAGACATCACATTAGTGAGCATTGAAGAACATTCCACATATTGATGTTAGTACTTGAATGAGACTAACATAAGTCATTTTGAAAATGGTACGAAGTCCGAGCGGACGAGCGGACGTGCTTTTCAGAAGCTCTCTAGGAGCTTGTAGATTTCTTGTAGAATTTTGCCAATATTTTTAAAAATTGCCTCAATACCGGATATAGTTGGGACTGTTTTGCTTCTTTATACTGTTGAACTTTGGATTGAAACTATAGTGGATTCATACAAGCCTATACTTAGGATCAGAGTCAAAAGGTAAGCAAGTCTTGTGGGCTACTAACACATACCGCACCCTTAATTACACGGTAGACTGCACACAATTGAATTTCCCGCCCTTTTCAGGCAACCAACCAGGTCATGGCCGGAGTGACAAACACCGGCCAGGGCGAAGAGCCACCTCTTTTACAACCCAATGAAGAAGATGAATTTCGAACTGTAAAATACTCTCGTAGGGAGCAAAAACCGAGAAATAAACGCAGGCGCGAAGGAAGCATTGCAATTGAAAATCTTTCAATGAGAACAGAATCCTCTTCCTCAGAAGACCAAAATACAACCCAGAACCGCCAATCGGAACTCAAAGTCTTAATTACCCCCATAGATAAATCAAAATCGCTAAAGAATGTGAATCCCATTACTATAGCTAGAAATATCCGTGAAGCTTGTCCAAACCCTGTGGAATTTATCAAACCCACAGCCCAAGGTCTCCTTATCAAATGCAAAAACCAGAAACAAGTAAAAGCACTATCTCAAATTAGTAACATAGGAACCACCCCAGTAAAAGTTGCAGAAAAGCAGCAAGTTGTGAGAGGGGTCATATATGGAGTACCTACAGAAATGACTGATGACGAAATTCTCAATGAATTGAAACACCAAGGAGTAATTGATGTAAAAAGAATCATGAAAAGGTCCAAATCAAATGTAAAATCAATTGAAATTGAAGAAAGCAGACCCAATTTTATCCCAATGAGGAGTGTTATTATAGCATTCAACCGTACAAACCTCCCCAGCAAAATAACAATGTGCTATCAACATTTTGAGGTTAAACTATACATTCCCCCCGTTTTGAGGTGCTTTCAATGCCAACGCTACGGCCACGGCATAGCTCAATGCAAAGCAAAGATGAGATGCGTCAGATGCGGGGAAGACCACAAATTTGAGGAATGTAACCGAAAAGAAAGACCGATATGTATAAATTGTGGTGGGAACCATTCAGCAGCCTTTGACGGCTGTCTTGAAGCTAAGAAAGCCAAAAAGATACAAATAGTAAAAGTCAAAAACAATCTTTCATACGCACAAGCTGCAAAAATACAGTCGGAGCAAGAAAAAGCACAGCAGAAACCACAAGCCAACCTCCCTGAATCACATCCCTCCCTCGATGTCAACTCAGATAACCTCCCTCTTCCTCCCCGACCAGTGAGGTCATCCACAGCAATCCGCCCTGAAAACGCCACCCCGCAACTTGATCCCCAGCCCTGGAACACCCCGCTGCAAAAAAACGCACAGAGCAGTAAATTAATAGATAAGGATGGAAAAACTGAAGTAAAACTAGAAGCCCTCCCTCGAGGTAACCTAGTAACATTAATGAGTGATGAGCAAATAATCTCTTTCATTACGCAACTTGTTCTCACTTTTACGGATGGAAAATCCGAGAAGGAGATTTCATCCTTAGTGAAAGTGGCAGCTGAGAGACTGCTCAAACAAAGAGTAAAACATGACGCTAAAGATGTACTGGTATAGCATAGTAATGATGATGACAGCGCTAACCATATTACAATGGAACGCGCAGGGACTTCTTAATCACGGTCCTGAACTTATAAAATACTTAGATTCATATAAAGATGCAAAGTACCATTTAATTTGTGTTCAGGAAACATGGTTCAATGATGATAGAATATTGCAAATCCCTGAATATACATGTTTTATTAGAAACAGGGAAAATCAATCTAAAGGAGGGTGTGCCATTTATGTACATGATTCCATCAACTATGAATATCCTGTCAATGACGAAGAATTCGAAATACAACATATTAAAGTTCATGTTGCTGGATCAAAAATCTCCATAATCAATTTCTATAACCCTTGCAAAAAATTAAACGAGATTGTTTTGAACAGGATGATTAACAAACTAGAATACAATCTATTCCTAATAGTTGGGGATTTCAACTCACATAATCCTGTGTGGGGTAGTGCAAAGATAGACCAAAATGGGCACACAATTGAAAATTTCACACGTGACAATAACTTTATAATTTTAAACGACGGAAGAGGAACCAGAATAGATCCACGCACTGGGAAAATGTCATGTTTGGATCTTAGCATCACCTCCCCCAAACTATCTTGCCTATGCTCGTGGGAAGTTTTGCAGCACACCCTTGGTAGTGACCATTTTCCCATCTCCACCCAGATATTATTGGACCGAGCAGGGAAAGTAAACAGCAACAGCGAGAAGATAAATGAGGAAACAACTTGGTCTTTTAAAAATTTTGATTGGAACACTTTTGCCGAAAAATGTGAACATAAAATTGAACATAGTGGCAACTATTCCGACCCTACGAAAATGTATAAATGTTTTATGAAAAGTTTGTCAGAGACTATTAAAGAAATAATGCCCCAGAGGGGAAAGAAAAAACATGACCCTGTACCTTGGTGGACAAAAGACTGTACACAAAGTATCAAAGAAAGAAACAGGGCTAATAATAGATTAAAAAGACACATTTCAATAGAAAATCTAAATACATATTTGAAGAAAAAATCAGAGGTACAAAAAACTCTACGCCAAGCAGAACGAAATTACTGGCAAGAATTTTGCTCAAGACTCAACCGCTTTGTACCAGAATCAGCGGTATGGTCTACCATTAAACGGTTAAAGGGGGTATCTGTCAAAAAAACAAAAAACATGTCAGTCCTGATAGAAAATGAAAAAGAAATCACATGTAACAGTGAAAAGACTGAGGCTTTCTCTAAGTTCTTCCAATCAATTAGTAATGTTAAAGAATGTCCAGAAATAAAAGAAAACAAAAATGTTGAGCAACAAGTCACGAAATCACTGAAGCGGGGAATGGAGCATATCTTGAATGAACCATTCACTCTTTTTGAATTGCAAAAAACTCTAAACACATGTAAACAATCAGCTCCTGGAAAAGACAAGATCCCTTATCAGGTTTACCAAAAACTTCCTCAGAAAGCAAAACAATATATGCTAAAGGTCATGAACTTGATATGGGATACGGGTAGCATACCTCCCAGTCTGAAACACTCTATCCTAATACCTGTGTTAAAACAGAATAAAGACCCCCGAAAGGTATCGTCGTACCGACCCATAGCACTTTCCTCATGTTTTGCCAAGATACTAGAACGGATTGTGAAGAATAGACTCCAATGGTATGTAGAAAAGAACAATATACTTCCTCCCCTCATGACTGGCTTTCGTAGTAAACGTGGGGTCACGGATAACATTGTACTTTTAGAGAATGCCATCCAAAGAAGCATTAATGTTGGTGAATATACTTTAGCAATCTTTCTCGATATTGAAAAGGCATATGACAGACTTTGTATCAAAGGCCTTATTTACAAACTATCAGTACATGGTATTACAGGTAATATGCTCGAGTTTCTCTATAACTATCTGAAAGAGCGGACTTTCCAAGTAAAGATTGGTAAAGAAGAATCAAAATTATATGAAATGTACAACAGCCTCCCCCAGGGGAGTGTCTTAAGTCCTATATTGTATAATATCATGATGAGTGATATTCCAACAGATGAATTAATCACCACATCTATTTATGCTGATGACTGTGTCATCTGGATGTCAGGTAATAACATAGAAATTATTTCAAACAGAATACAGTGCTATCTGAACACATTGAGTGAATGGTTTACTAAATGGGGCTTTCGCCTTTCACAGAGTAAATCCTTTCCAGTGTTATTTACTAAAAACAATAAAGCAAAATACCCAGAACTGAAATTAAACAACGACGCACTTTTATTTCAATCAAAGAAGCATTTCCTAGGACTTATATTTGACAAAAGACTTTCATGGAAGACGCACATAGATGCCGTAGTCCTTAGATGTAAAAAGAAACTGAACATTCTTAGGTGCCTTACTGGGACTACATGGGGAAGCTCCTTGAAATCCCTGCTAATGGTATATAGAGCATTGATAAGATCGTTATTAGATTTTGGTTGTGAAGCCTATGACAGTGCGGCTCAAAGTATAAAGAAATCACTTGACTCCATTCAATATCAAGCCTTGAGAATTTGTGCGGGAGCTCTTCCTCTTACATCATTAGATTCACTACAAGTTGAACTAGGTGAAATGCCCTTAGACTTAAGAAGACAGATGCTGGCGGACAGATTCAGACAAAAGATTGAAATGCATCGAGATCACCCTGTCATATTAAACGTTAAGCCCAGCTGGCAAATGGAACTTTTGAAGCTCCAAAAGAATAACAAGCCATTTGGATGCAGAACAGAACTAATGAAACATTGTACTATCGAACCTTACACTATACCTAGTTTCCCCCCTTGGAAAATTAATGCTCCAAAAGTGTCGATAGAATTAAGCGAAATAGTGAACAAACATGAAAACCCATCTTATTTACGTCAACGCAGTTTAGAATTGATCAGTACCAAATGGCCAATACAACTACACATCTATACAGATGGGTCAAAGGTTCCAAGTTTTGGAATAAGTTCTGCTTCTTTTTATGTACCAGCATTCTCCTTTCAACAAGCCAAACGATTGGCGGATCACACCTCATCTTTCAGAGCCGAATTGGCCGCAATTGTCCTTGCGCTTAATTGGCTAGAGAACATTAATGTGTATGTTGGCATTGTTATTTTTTGTGATTCCGTAAGCGCCCTGCTCGCCATAAAGGATGAAAAAGATATTACATTTGTAACTGAAATTATTACATTAAGTACAAAATTATCGTATCAAGGAAAACACATACACTTAGAATGGATTCCTAGCCATTGTGGTGTACACGGAAATGAAATGGCAGATTTTTATGCAAAATCTGCTTTACAAAATAACATTGAAATTTGTAATAAATTATCCTTTTCTGAAATAAAGAGTATTATTACCAGCAAGTATATAAAACTCTGGCAAGACAGATGGAATAATTCTGATAGATCTCTTAGACATATACTGCCTACAGTAAATCAACCATATGAATGTAAGTTGAACAGATTTGAAGAAAGTATTCTCCATAGATTAAGAATAGGATATATATTGTGTGTGCACCTATGAAGGTTGCCCCTCTGACTAGTTCTGTAAAAGTGAACATTATTTCAGTTTTCATCGCACTGCACTTCATTTTAGTTTGCACCAGATATTATAGTGGACACCAAGGAACAACTTGAATGATTTTGTATTCTATTATTATCGTGATTTTCAAGAACTTTGGACGATATATTTTTCTGGCAGTCCCAGTAAGTGAAGTATATACAGCAACCATATTGACTCCACATGCCATCAGTGTCTAGCTACTGCAGTGTATTACTCTTCAGAGTGAATAGAAGGAGTCCTATTCATCCACGAGCAGTCTATATTGTCAAAGACTCAAAACTTGAACCTCACAATGGATTGGATCAGGATAATCTCCATTAATCTACTTATCCTTCTTTTCTGCAATGAATGGAAAAAAAGTAGCTGCAATACCCCTGTGTGCTACACTAGTTCCAAACTACAGGGACCCCATACTATGCACAGAACCAAAACTCTAAAGTTTCTTGGTAACCGTGTGTTATACTATAGTAACTCTACATCAACGTTCCAGATATCTCTCACCATTTGCGAAGATGTCAGTCCTAACCCCGGACCCCATTCTGAATGTGAAAAGCAGTACCATAATATTAAAAATGATCCTCAAATAAGACTGACTGACAATTTCACGAGAACCATCGGTGCTGCAAAACTGAATAACCTGGGCCTGAATACCCCCCGGCTGAATAATGACGTTTGGAACAAAATTCATCAGCTGGGCATATCTAGGAAACGTAAAACACATCGAGGAACTAAAGGATGTGGGCGACTAAGGCGAGACAGGCAAGTCTTACCGATTCCAGTTATCATCAAACAAAGAAAAAAGACAACAGAACAAACACGAACCCTCTGCAGGCAAAATCTTTTACCTGTGAAATTGGTCCTTTCATCAGTTGAGAAAGTGACCAACTTACTCCCCTCAGTATATGTTGTCAACCCGCAATCCCTCAACAACAAATTCGACGAATTCTACGCAGTATCTCATGAACTCCAGCCAGACATCATCTCTGTCAGTGAAACCTGGTTCCAAGGTTCAGATCCTGTACACACCTACCATATTCCAGAGTACCAAGTCTTTTCCAAGGGACGGGAAGGCAGACGTGGGGGAGGGGTTGCGACATACGTAAAATACGCCATGAACCCAAAGTCTTTTGAGATCCCAGTACCACGCGACCTTGAAGTTGTTTGGGTGCAGATTCGACCAAAGCGACTGCCACGAACAGTGTCCTCTATATTTGTAGCAACTGTATACTCACCGCCAAACATGAACAATGACAATACTCTCGTAACCTACCTGACTGAAGCTGCTGACGACATCTTCAGAAATCATCCAGGGGCAGGAGTCATCATCAGTGGTGATATGAACCGTTTGAACTTGTTATCACTTATTATTGCCCACAGCATGAAACAGGTGGTGGACAAGCCTACACGACACAACATCATTCTGGATAAAATTGTTACCAATTTAAAACAGTTTTACCATCCGGTCGAAATGATAGCTCCGATCGGGCAAAGCGACCACAATGGCATCCTCCTGAAACCAAAGATCCTACCGCCCCGCCAGAACAAGACCAAGATGAAGCAGGCTAGACCCATGAGAGAATCTAGCATACGCAGCTTCGGCAACTGGATCACGCACCATGACTGGTCTTCAGTATCAAATGTGCATGATGTCAACGAGAAATGTGACCGTTTCTATAGCGAGTTGAACCCAGCGATTGACAGCCATTTCCCGATTAAGTCGGTTCGACTCCACGAAGATGACAAACCATGGATGACCACCAAAATAAAATGCTTGATTCGCCAACGCCAACAACTGTTTAACTCGAGATCTCCAGATTGGACAAATATCCGAAATCAGATCCAAAGAGAAATTCAAAAGGCCAAAATTGACTTTTATCACAATCGCGTCCATCGATTAAAACAAGAGAATCCAAGTTCATGGTACCGGTATATCAAACTAATGACCTCAAACAAATCCAACGAATTGCTCATAGATGTCCCAGGGGTTGATGAGGATGACCACATCGAAGTTGCCAATGCGATCAACACTCATCTTGTAAAGGTGGCGGAAGATATACCACCTCTGAGCCAGTCAAGTCTCCCTGCATACTTACCACTAAAAGAAACCAGTGCTCCGAAGGTGCATCTTTGGCAGGTCTACCAGGAACTTCGGAAGACCAAAGTTGGCAAGAGCTGCGGGCCTGATGGCATTTCCAGTCGCTTGGTTCGTGAATTCGCACTTGAACTTACGTCTCCAATTTGTGATATAATCAATGCTTCTCTTGACCAAGGAATCGTTCCTCATCAATGGAAAATGTCCACCATAGTTCCATTACCTAAAACAACACCGCCTTCAATTGACAAGCTGAGACCCATTGCACTCACCAGTCATTTCGCGAAACTTGCCGAACTCTTTGTTTGCAAGATGCTGCTCGCTGATATCAGTGGGAACATTGATCCCCATCAGTATGGAAATCGGCCGGGCATGTCAACCTCTCATTACCTAGTAGATCTCCTGGAATATCTGTATTCACATGCTGACAAGACGGGATACACATCAACAGTAGTGATGACAGATTTTTCCAAGGCGTTTGACTTGGTTGACCACAATATTGCCATTGAGAAGATCTACACACTGGGTGCCAGACCACAACTGATACCATGGTTGTCCAGCTTCCTCTCGGAGCGGACGCAGCAAGTGAGATACCGTGGCAAACTTTCGGAACCAGTGGTGACAAATGCAGGTGTTCCACAGGGAACACGCTTGGGACCAGTACTTTTCCTTGCCCTAGTAAATGATGCATTAGACGAATCAACAACCTCCAGGTGGAAATACGTTGATGACTTGACGATAGCTGAAAGCCGAAAATCTACAACAAGAAGTAACATATCGCAAGCTGTCCAGGAGTTGGAAATATGGTGTGAATCCACGCGCATGAAGCTAAACCCAGCTAAATGTCAGTTCTTTCAGATATCATTCAGCAGACAACCCCCTAATCCCGAACCCATCACCATTTCAAATCAACCAATCCCAGAGTGCGTCCATGTAAAATTGCTAGGCGTTACCATCCAGAATGACCTGAAATGGAACAAGCATGTCTGCGACGTTGTTTCAAGGTCAAGTAAAAAACTGTACATGCTCAGAACCCTCAAAAAGTTTGGACTTCCCGCAGAAGATTTACTTACCGTGTTCCAGTCGTACATCAGACCCATTACCGAATATTGCGCCCCAGTTTGGCATTCTTCCCTGACCTTAGCGGACTCCAACCAGATAGAAAGTATACAGAAAAGGGCCCTTCGCATCATTCTAGGCAGAGAGTTCCAAACGTATGAGAATGCACTAATAACTACAAAACTTACCACTTTGTCGGAAAGACGTGTCAAACTGTGTGTCAAGTTTGCCAAATCACTTGAGAAAAACTTTCCCCAATGGTTGCCCCCTAAGCAATCTGAACTCCGTGCACTACGTTTCAGTGACCAGTACAGGCCTGTGAAATGTAGAACAGAGCGCTATCGGAAAAGTGCTCTCCCATTTCTTGTGAGACTTTTAAACCAGAAATGATCCTTGATTATCACAAACTTGTTTTTACCCTATTTATGAATCTGGCTTAGATTAGATTAATAGTATAATTTACATACGTACATATTAAATTTCACTAGCTATGACTGTATATTAAACATTTATTATATTTTCAATAGAAACACTGAACATTTGTTTACACTCATTTAATTTAGTGTTTTTTAAGTTTAATAATACCCTTTTTAATCAATTAATTATTTGATACAACCCAAGCATACTTTATTGAACACTTGCCAGTTTACTTTTTATAATTCAGAACTTATAGCTATTTAATCACTTGTGAATTTGTATTGATTTTTCATGTTTGTTCCTTTTGATTATACCTTTACTTGTATATTTAATAGAAAACTCATAACTCCTTTAATTAAACTTAATGAAAAATAATCATTTTTTATCTTTTTTACCATCAGATACCACTCAAGTCACTTTACACAAAGCTTTAAATTTTGATGGAAAGTGGATAATAATATTTATATTTAAATTTAAAATTCCAAAATTGTCTTTGTTTGTAAGCAATATTTTTATAATGTTAGCATTATACATGTATAGTTACTTTCATTTGCTTTAATATTTATTTTTACAATATTGTGTATGATTCCTTTTAATTTGTATGATGTTTTTAACGTTTTGAATTTTGTAAATTCATTTGTAATTTAGCCTTTGGCTACAATGAGTGAATAAAATACCTTGAATTGAATTGAATTGAATAGGAGTGATAGGTTTGAACTTAGATCTCTTCAGATTGAATATACACTCGACAGGCCATTGCAATAACTGCATAGGACGTACTGAAACTGTAAACCACTTTCTCACTGAATGCCCAAAGTACATAATAGAAAGAGCTATGTTACTCGTAGAAACTGATTTAACACATCCACAGGAAATCATGACACTACTTAAACTTTCAGAAATAGTTAAACAAAAAGCAATAGTTCGCTTCGTTTTAAGAACAAAGCGGCTGTATCAAAACAATTAAATTGTTGTTGAGTTTTTTTTTTTTTTTTTTTTCTTCTTATCTTCTCTTTTCCTTTTTCTTGCACCAATAAAGCCCACAATACTTGTAACTAATTTGACCATTTACTTTTCTAACAATTCGGTGATCACCTCCAACATCACATGCTAGCTGGCACCCCCTCACCTATGCCGGAGTGACCTAGGTTAAAACCGAAAGTCTGCGAAATATACCTCAAAGACTGGTAAGATGGCATTTTGAAAAGGGTGGGGGTAAGTGCGAAGTACACATGTGCATACGTGAGGTGATATTTGAACGCGCACGTGCGCGTAAACACAAGTACGTACGTTTAGTTTTAGTTTATAGGCGTTTTCTATTCACAACTTGCTAGGCCGTCGTCTCTTTCCAAAATTATTAATTTATTGAATTTTCTCTCTAAAAAAAGTTATAGAGTCTAAAAAGAAAAAAAGAGGAAGGAAAGAGGATGGAAGGAGAAAGAATCCTAAAAATAGTCATTTATGACATGAAATTGTACATATATGTATATATATAAATAATTCATAAAATAGTGTGTGGCAAAAATAGTCAACTGTGACTGATTGCCAAACAAAAACAAATCAAGAAGAAGAAATAGGGTCTAGTAAAAATGTGTAGTGATTCTCAGGTATGTGAATGCTGCAAAATAGACAGAATTACATAATTAAGATTAGATGTAATGGTTTTCTGAAGAAGAAAACAAAATTTGGACACTGCCCACTACTATGTGTGATAACATGTACCTTTCATGTTTCACAGTTACATTGTGTATATGCTCTCCCCCTTAATATAAACTGCATTGGATGAGGGAGGCCTTTTCTAGCTGGTAGGCCTATGTTAAAGGTACTATGTCCCATTTGCAGCCCAAAAAAATGAAAAGGTTAAATTCCAACGGCATTTGAAAGACAATACTAATTTAGAACTTCCCTAAAAAAAGGTGGCTTGAAAATGTATTTTAATGGGAAAATAACAACTATTAGTTGTCAAATCGACTTAGGAGCTATAGAGCCAGTAAGTAATAGTCTGATTTTTCAGACCATTGTACCGAATTGTTGTATGTTTTATGCTGCGCAAAGATTCAATCAGTTTAAATTTGGCCATTACAAGAAGTGGGTTATTGATGTAGACAAATGCTCATGTACCATTTACAGCTCGTTTTATGGATGTTATTACCATAGGAGAAAAAAGCCAGTCACTCACTCAATAGTGTCTGACAGTGAAGTCTAGCAAATAAACGGGTTTCCTTGCATAATTTGAATATTAGGACACGGCTAACGTTTAAGTTTCACAGATAAGACATACATGACATAGATCTAGACCTATTCATAATTCCTGCAAATTTCTACAGAGTTTGATATTGGCTGCAAAAGGGACATAGTATCTTTAAGATTTAATTTTAAAAAATTGCCCCGTTTGTTGGATGAGGCTCCTTTAACTTGAAAGAAGTTAATTGTCCGGCAAAATTGTAATAGAATGATAAGTAGAAATCTGTCAATGAGTAGGAATGCATTTTTGATTTGGGGGTTTGCAGGAGAATGTACATTGTATACATGAACTGAAGTCATTAAACTTGAATCCATTAGCCAAGGATTCAAAGTCTATTGGTGATGTGATATGTGTTTGTGGTGGTCGAGAGGTTTAAGGCGCTTGACTGGAGATGCGAAAGTCGAGGGTTTGAATCCTGACACTGCACTAATATCCTTTGGCAAGATATTAACCTGCACTTGCTACTCTCCACCCAGGTGTTAAATGGGTACCCGGTAGGATGCGACCGTCATTGTTGGTCAAACAATTTTTGAGCGTCAAGTAACGCCTGGCTGGAATGCTCCCCAGCGAGTGGAGATTGTGAAAATGAGTGTATGCGGGCAAGCACTGAACCCAATGACCGGTGTAATAGTATATTTGTAAAGCGCTTAGAGATATTTGTATTAAGCACTATATAAAAGATAAATATTATTATTATTATTATTATTTGTTTGTTTTCAGAGGAATGTGTCTAAGTTTGGAGAACGCTGTTTATCTTCGGGAAGCTGTGTGCTGTGGTGTGGATCAGCCTCTCCGGGGTTCGACAATAGAGGGTGCGCTGGATGGGGTCGTGAACTACGCTATCTACCTCGTCTTGATATCAACAATCAGTCCAGGTAGTTACATTTCATCAGAAATAGCAGAACATTTAGTGCGTTTGTCATATATTTGTTTAAGTGATCCAAATTACATCCATCTTTATTGTATTTCAGTTGGGAAGCATGATAGGGTATACATGCAGTCAGCTTTAATTTGTTAATGTTAGGTAAGAAGATGATAGTTGTATGCAATAGAATAGTCTGATAACTAAATTGTTCTGGATGATTCCATTTGTCTAGTGTAGTTGGTTTGATTTCTTTTGTGAGCTTGAAAGATGTTGTGATTATGTGCTCTAGCTGCCATTGGGACTTTACTGAATGGAAACAGTGAAAAGGCATTTGAGTTTTGCATTAAAGGCATCGTTTAACAATGTTAAATCTGAGATGCACGGCCCTACGCCTTATCAGTGTCTGTGATATGGTGTAATATTGAAGCCCCCAAAAAAAGCGCTTCAAAATGATCAAGAAGTGCCTCAAAAAAGTAAAAATCTTTGAGTGACCGGTTTTACCATAATAATTTTCCCCAATAGACTGTAGTGTTAGGAAAACCGTAAGGACGGTCGGCTTGGAAAAGTCATGGGGTTCCTGACTGACCTACAGGGTTATAATTATCATTGCAGTATGAGCTAGATCCAGGATTTTGTTTCAGAGTCTGAGACAAAGTTACTGGATCCCTTTAACGAAAATGAGGAAATATATAGTGTTATAAGTATTCTGTTGCCTCAATCTTTTTTGGTATAGGCAATAGTAAGGAAGAGAGTTTTAAATGCTAATATGTTGCAAGTTTTCTTGATATATATGATATTCCTTTGAAATTCTCCATTATAGGTCCACATATGACTCACAATGGAAGTATCATCTTAGTAGTAATACATCAGCAGAGTATATTATAATACCAACCATGAATGATTTTCCTGGTATGTATCTTAATCTCTTTTTACACTTAATATTAGTTTAAAAAAAGAAATTAAAGTAACACTATTTGAAATATGTGTGCTAAAAATAGTGTGTTTTAATATTGACGATAATATATATCGAGATATAGCGGGATATACCATATAAGTATTTTGTTCTCTTTAAGACAACACTATGTACAATGGAAGGTAAATGGAAAGCAGACTCTGTTTGTTAATGTTATGCTTAAACCATGTCATAACCGTTGAGTTGCCATTAAATTGCTGCAACTTAAATGAGCTCGTCACTGTTTCCGATCACGTTATTGTTTCCCATGCACCGTCTACAACCCAGTTGTAATAGTACTAGATCATTGAAGTATCAACGATATTGTTGCCACATGTAGTTAAAATTCTATTTGCATGTATATAGATTCGCCAGTTTTGCAATGCATAGTTTATTATTTGATGTTAAATGAAGATTTCTTTTGATTCTTTGATTGTTGATTCACAGAGGCGACTCCTCTTCTTGATATCAATGCATCCCTATCAAGTCTCTACAGTACATTAATATACGCCAGTAGATGGAAAGACCATTCCTACGACGTGAGAGGGCTTATACTGTGTCCTGTATGGTATCGGTTATACAAGGAGATGCAATTCTATAACATGACGCCAGGGATTAATGGTTGGTACAATGCTTTATGCAATATTACCGCATTTCTTCTACTGCAGTCTGCTCCTTTTACTCTTCTTCATTTGCAATGGTAGGAATTTATTTCTTGAAATGCTAGAGCGCCGTATGGCAGCCAGCCGTGCTAAAGGCAGGGTAATAATCGGGAGCGCCAGGAGGGTCAAATCTGACTGACATGAGCGCTATACAAGAACCCATCATTATTATGATGCCTTTTTATTGTTCAATTTCATTGTATGTAAACTTTATATTTTGGCAAAACAACATAACAGATGATATTGAAGTACAGGTATATGTACAGAATTTTCGTCCCGGTTGAATCTGTTGTTGAAATAATTAGATTTGGTTTATTGAAATGTCTTCACAACTAAAATGCAGATTATCTTTTTGCTTAAATAATTTAGCATGAATTTGTCTTGGTTTGGCTGTAATGATTTTTACATACAGAAAGTAGAAAGCAATTGTATACCGGTAGTTGGATTCATCAGCTTTATAATACTGACATAACAGCTGGATTTCTAATTTCTTTCAGTTCAATCTCTAGAGGATTCTCTTCAAGCTGCCAAGCTAGCCATCAGTCAAGGAACACAAACATCGCTCTCTAAAGCTTGGATTCTCATCCAAAATGCCAAGTGAGTACCGGGTACATGGATTTAAAAAATAACTTTTTTCTTTACAGTTTTTGTTATTTTGGAGAGGGAGAATGATAGGATTCATCATTGACTGGATCATAGAGCATTTTATATTTGTCAATTAAAAGCTGTTGTTCTAAAGTCAAGACGTGAAATATGAGGATTTATACTCAAGTATATATTTACCCAATGCCTAGGGGAACCGGGTGACCCCTGTTTTTATTTTTACTTTTTAAACAAACAGTAATGATCCATATCATTTTTGATCAGTTTGGGATCTTGTAATAAAAACATACCTCAAATAACCAAAAAGGGTCAATGTACGACTTCTTTACTGTTGTGATGTTTCCAATGCAATTTTTTTTTTCATGAATTTTCACACGCATTAACAAATCTTGTTAGTACACATGTGTACACCTTCTATTGTGTAGTGTTCATGCATTGATTTTCACCTATTTAAAATATGAACATTCCTCACTTAACAATGATTACAAAAATAATAATAATGATGAATCTATTCTATTGGTATCATCAATTTGTTTGCAAGTATGGAATATGTAATAAGTTATGATCTATTTTACTGTGTATTATTTGTACATGTCTATATCTAAGTTTTGTTGAAATGCTTTTTAAAACTGAGCTTGTAAAACTTGCAATGTAATTTAGCTTTCAGGCTGCCATTTTGCAGTTGTTCAAATAAAACCATTCTACTATTACTATTTCTTTGATTGTGTTTGTATCCAGAGACCTTCTAGACTCAATGATTAAATCAGATATCAGTGAAGATGAGATGAAGATACCAGTGCCAAGCTCCATCATGTCATTCTCTCTTCCACCCATCATAGAGAATGGGTCTTACATCATCAATCATACCAGTCCAATCTATCTTCACATGGCTGAGGAGACGGCATCAATACTCAGACAAAACAACTTCAAGGTAGGAGGGTGAAAAAAAATCTTTTATAAGGCCTTTAAAAAAAAAAGGGTTGTATTGCCCTTTGCGACCGACCCCAAAATCTTGAAATCTATGGTCTGCTTTTTAAATTATTATTTTTTTAACCATTCTTTTTAGAAAAAAAAATGTATTAAAGCATTCAAAACTGCTTTTGTTTTTTGTTTTAAAGGCCTAATATATATACTGTGAGGATCAGGGGGTGATGTTGGACTCTATTTATAGTTCAATGACGTACCACATATGTCAGTGCTATCAATACTCTGGCACATTTTTATTTCTATTAGTCTGGTCATGAAGTTAGCATTTACTTTTTCTTTGAATTTTCATTCATCAATTTGAGACTGATTATTTGAGACTGTGATTAGGGGTTTGGTGAATCATTTGTTTGTTCATGTAGAGGTGGATAGTGGGTGATTGAATCATGAAAATATGACTGGATATTGTGTTTCCCATTTTCTTGAAAATGTCATACAATTACCTGTCATACATGTATTTCTACCAATGCTCTTGTGCCTCCAGGGTTTGCTTAGGTTTCAGTACCAGCCACTTACACAAGGCATTAACTACATAAGAGTGATATCCTCCAGTGAGACACACACATCAGACCCATCTCTCAAGTATACATTTCACTCTAAGGGACTGGCCAAGGAGTCTAAGAGGAGCTGGAGGTACACAGTAAAGTCAGACCGATCTGAAGTGTGTAAGATACATGTTAATGGAACAGGCAAGGGTGAGTAGATGTCAACCATTATTGAAAACGGGAAACAATAAAAACATCTACAAGTGTGAAAGAATTACGGAAAGTGATGAAAATGTTAACTTTGATTCACGTCACATTTATCCAAATATCAAAATGACTCCTTTTTTGGGGGGGGGGGGGGGTACCATATTTGCTGGCGATAAGGCCGCACCGCTGCATAGGCTGCCCATCCAACTTTGACATTTCAAAGAGGGAAAAAAAAAAAAAAAAAAAAAACGGACAAAACAAAATGATCGTAATTTTCTCTAAAAACACTATTTTTTTTCTTTCAAACTGATACCAAATTCATCAATATTCTTCTAATTTACCAGAAGTTTAGGTAAAAAAGCAATCGTAGGCAGATTTGGTGTCCGATTTACCCCTACCACAATGTATGGTGTAATGCGAAATTACATGAAATGGAAAAACAAAATGGCGACTTTGGATGGATGCTTCGCGTCAGGTCCATTTAACGGTCCCTTCCTTTACTTTTGCAATGCATTGGCACGAACCTAGATCAAGATATATCAGCAAATGTTGTTTTAGGAAGTTATTTTCATCTTCATGTCAACATTGCAAGATAAAATTGTCGGTAAGATGTTTGAAAATGTCCTGTATCATAGGGGTATAGTTTTTTTACCGTTTCTAGTCCCATATGTGCAAATTTGTGTTGGTTTTTGACTTAGGTTTTTTTTTTTTACTCTTTTGTCGTAAAGGCCGCACCCGACTTTTTGATATTTTCTCTTCCAAAAATACTGCGGCCTTAAAGTCGGCAAATACGGTACATGTTAATTTAGTTGTACTCATACATGAATGTCCTGACATTTTTTTTGCATCAAAAAATCAATTATACAGTGAGAAATGCAAGATGTATCCTGTACCCCCCCCCCCCCTCCCCCTCTGTCTCTGTTTCTCTCTCACACACACACACTCTATGAGTATATATACAGTGGAACCTCATTATAAAGAGCTCTGATATAACAAGGTGATTTTGCTGGTCCCAGCTCTTTATTTTACCCCGATATAACGAGGCAATTAAATTTCTATGTACCCAAGGACCTCGTTATAACGAGTTTCCACAATATACTGTATACGAGTATGTGTATTTCTGTTTATCTTTTTGACTGTTATTATTAGTTTTTATGAATTGATTATTATATGTTTTATCATCTTTTCGCTGTTGTCTATCTCCCACCCTCTCCAAGTTGTTTTCATATTGTGTACTTTAATTATACCAATCTTTTCTCTCTAAACTCTGTTTGTATCTCTGTGTCTTCATCAGGAGGAGCGTGGCAGAATGCTACAGTAGCTATGTACAAGGAGAATCAATCTTGGGATCATTCAGCCACACATGAATCAGACCTGGTCTTCATCTCTCTAGCTTCCTATGCAGTCAGAAACATATCCCTTCAATTCACCGTCTTCTCAAAGAGATAGTTATGATCAAAATGACATGTCCGACTGGTTTCAACACTTGACTGGAGATGCGAAGGTCATGGGTTCAAGCTCCAGCACTGTACTTGTGCAAGGCATTTTTATCTAGATTGCCTGTAAATTTATCCAGAGACTTGCTTGGAGGATATCCACAAACTCATTTTAAGTTTGAAAAAGTGATTTTCTTCCGTTGATAAGACAATAATGCAATATCAATGAATTTGTTCTAAACAAGGCGATATGATTGTCTTCCAAAGTTTTTATCATATATTATACGTATGTACATGTAATAAATGTATTTATTCTTCATATTCATGTGTCTACATGTACTTTAATGATGTGTTAAATTGATATTTGAGAAAGAGACCAAAAAAGAGCAAAAGCATTGAATCAATTACAGAGAATGAACAACCAGGCTACAGAAATATACATGTAAGACATGATAATACTTGAACCATTGTCAAAGTGTACAGACTGAGCACATAAAGTGACGAGTGCATGAGCACGAGGAGAGGGGGGGGGGGGGGGGGGGGGGAGATGGAGGAAAGACGAAACAGTGAGTGAGAGATAAAGGGAGAGAGTGAGAGAAATAGGAGAGTGAGAGAAAAGGATAAAAAGTGAAAGAAAGGGAGAGAGTGAGAGAAAAGGGAGAGTGAGAGAAAGTGAGAAAGTGAGAGATAAGGGAGAGAGTAAGGGAGAAAGGAGAGAAAGTGAGAGATAAGGGAGAGAGAGAAAGGGAGAGTGAGAGAAAGGGAGAAAGTGAGAGAAAAGGGAAAGTGAGAGAAAGGGAGAAAGTGAGAGATAAGGGAGAGAGTGAGAGAAAAGGGAGAGAAAGGGAGAAAGTGAGAGATAAGGGAGAAAGGAGAGAAAGTGAGAGATAAGGGAGAGAGAGAAAGGGAGAGTGAGAGAAAGGGAGAAAGTGAGAGAAAAGGGAAAGTGAGAGAAAGGGAGAGTGAGAGAAAGTGAGAGATAAGGGAGAGAGTGAGAGAAAAGGGAGAGAAAGGGAGAAAGTGAGAGATAAGGGAGAAAGGAGAGAGTGAGAGGAAAGGGAGAAATTGGAGAAAAGGGAGTGAGAGAAAACGGAGAAAGAGGGAATATACCGTATTTGCCGGCGTATAGGCCGCAGTATTTTTGGAAGAGAAAATATCAAAAAGTCGGGGTGCGGCCTATGCGCCGAAAGAGTAAAAAAAGTTTTTTTTTTTTTTTTTTTTTTTTTTTTTTTTAGTTTCGATTTATGGCGCTATGCCTGGCAATGTCTCCCAGCTCAGTAATCAGTGTGTTGACTCACCACTCAGAAACTACAACAACACTAAAATTTGACTGTCATCTCGGTTTGAAAGTAATCTTTCTAATAGATCTCAATATGTAGTTTATAATAATAGTTCCTCAAATTTTTTTCTATAACAAATGGTGTACCACAAGGTACACCACTGGTACCATAGGTACTTTATTGTTTTTAATTCACATTAATGATCTTACACATTCTTCTAAAAACGACATCGTTACTATTATTTGTGACAAGTTTACAAGCACAAATCAGCGCCTTTAACTGAACCTCGATGTTAAATGTAGGTCCTTCCACGCGTGGGTTTTCGGCAGCAAAACAACAACAACAAAATCGGGGGTGCGGCCTATGCGGGGGTGCGGCCTTTACGCCGGCAAATACAGTAGATGGTCAGGACCATACTAGTTGGGAGGTACAAGTCATATCAAAGTGCTCTTAGCGCTTGTAACCTGGTATCGTTCAAAGAAAGGAGAGGATCTTTGTCAGGACTTTACCACTAAGCTTTTCAAGAACTTTCGTCATTGGCTACAGGAAAGCCAATCATCAAACAGACAATTAAGACACAGTAACAGGTAACGAGAACTGAAATGTAGGACACAACGTTACAAAAATAGTGCAATGCCACAAATTATCAAACTGTTGAACTCTAATGCTGAAAACCTGAACTTAGAGTTTTAGAACACACAAAATAGTGAATTGAAGATGAATGTTGCCTGTAAATGTGAAAATGTATTTTTTCTCTTGCCTCAAAATTACTTATTTGTACATCAATTCCTATGAAGTGCATTCCCACTAACTTGGATGAAATAACTTTTTTTAATTACATTTTTAATTTGTATTATATTATACCAGCTCTGTGTACCTCTTTCACCCTCTCTCTCTCTCTCTCTCCCTTCTCTTCTTCCCTTTTCTCTCCACTCACTCTCCCTCAACTTTCCTTTCCTTTTCTCCTTATTTTCCTGCTTCGTATTTTTCCTTTATATCTTGCTTTTTTTTTCTGAGTTTTACTGAGTTTTTTCATCAAATTATTGTTAAATAATGAATTGTAAATATGATTAGTTTTTTTATATTTTTAAACCAAATACCTGTAAATCATGCATGCAATTCAGCCATTGGCTGCGATGTGTCGATGAATAAATTCCTTACCTTACCTAAGAGATGTAGTGAAACTGAATTACACACAAAACAAAGACATTTGAAAATCTCACATTTGTTAAATCTAAAGAGTTTCTTTATTATGCTATCCTAAATGGGTCTGGGTACATGCCATAATGTGTGGCACAATGACACATCGCTAACCACAAACTGCTTGATGAACGTGCATTCATACAACATCTTTTGGAAGTATATTGGGATAATTTAGACAAAAGAAGCATTTTTATCAGAAGAGCACGACATAGAAGCACTCTGTATTGCTTCCAGTGTCGTTTACATACCGATAAGTGATCGTTGCAATTAGAACAAATAATGATTGTTGAATTTGAATTCACATGAACTGGACATGAAGAAGACTCGCATAGGATTCTTGTACAGTTTACCCACCACTCGATGCCACAACTGAATACATGCTCTAATCTTCCACCAAACATTGGTTTGTTGTTCTTGGTAAACTTAACATCTTTGCAGTGACAGTCACAATCCCTGACACTGGTATGGCGGTCAGAGCTAGCTGTAACATCTGAAGGAGCTGATCTAACTCTTCCTATCACATGGCAGCTACAACTCCATGAAGAACCTAGAGTTCTAAGTCTGTTCAACCTACACCATGTTCGTTTATTCTTTCCATAATTTTGAGAGGTTGACTTTGTGCATGATTGGTGAATGTTACTAGCTTCAAGCATAGATTCATCAATCATTGGACCGTTCATCTCTGAGCAGGCACGTATATAATGAAGGCATGTTAGAGACAAATGATAATGTGGAGTCTTTAGGACACATGATGTTGAACAAATTACGTTCTTATGAAAGGGAAACGATCTCTCTACCCAGTAAAATAGCAGCTCTACAAATTCTGACATATAGCATGTGTTATCTAACAAACACATGGTTGAGCAATTACTAGCTCAAACAAAACAAAAAGGAGATAACAGAAGATTGGAATGAATTGATAGATATGGAGATGAATAAATATAATATGCCTAACTTCTCCAAGAGATTTACGTTACTAAATTCCTTACAGATCTGACGACAACTACAGATAAATAACTTTCTTCTTGAAGGAAGAAATCTGCAGTGTGTACTGAAGTACCCTTTGTAATGACAGCAAATCAATTGTTACTGCTTAATACTTATCAGAAGAGTTATGTGTTAATTTAATATATATTGTGGTATTATCAGCAATGTATTACAAAGATAAGTTAGATTCCAAACTACTGTCTATTACTCTGAAGAGAAAAAAGTGTAACTTAAAGGTGATAAGAAAATTCCTTAAAGGCTTGTAAATAATGATTAAATGCAATGAACAATTTTCACACAGAAATTCAACGACAATTCTAATATACCAACTACCAATTCAGATAATATAAACGAGATATAGACCAGTTCAAATGGTTTCTTGGTCTATATGATGAGGTGTACTCTCTTTCTTTCTTTGTTAGATCTCTCCACACAAACTGACAGGAAGGCAGGCAGGCAGGCGACAACCCCAGAGGATGACTCTCGAGCAAAATCCTCTAGGATTCAAAACGTAGTGGGATATCGTCTCGGCTACTCGTGTTCGAATTCATCGACTTCAGTGCACTCTTCTCCAATAAAGAATTCGACCACCTCCTCCTCGTTATCGTCATCATGTTCAAGCTCATCGGTATCCACACCTGATGGGAACACAAAAATAGGAGAGATTAACTTTAAAATCCTCATGACCTAGGTCCATACATCATGCAGTTCCAGTTACTGGCTTATTTTCATTAAAGTTCATTAATCAATCTCAAAACCCTACTCAATAGTATTCTGAACAGAAAACAACGTCTCAGTTTGACTTTCAAGTTAATGTTCAAAACATTATTTACTTTTTTTAAATGCATGTCAAACTAGTCAAGCAACTCACACCTATGTTTACATCTAAAAGGAAATTAATCTAGAGCAATAATCTGGTTCAATTCCAATTAAGGATTGTATCTGGTCTGTCGGCACAAGACTACATGGCTGTCAGACAGCATGGGTAGTCTTGCTTCTAGGACCGGAATGGTTTTACTCTCAGCCATTTGTTTGGACTCCAAGCAACCACTGAACAGGTCACATGATGTGGCAGAAACATGGCTGAATAGAGATTTATCTAGATTTCAAAAGTCCCACATGCTCAGCTCTCTTTATTGCAAGTAAGTAAGCACATTATTGTTTATTAATCGAAGGTAATACTGTCTAAAACAACAATTAGTTTCCTACACTTGTGCAAGAAATGTCTTAAACCAGTAAATCCAAAATGCTTTCAGCACAGTGCAATACCACTTGTCAAAACCCAACACCAAAGTTAACTACAATTTTTTGTTTTAACTCTGAAGATTTAAAAGACAAGGTGGGATTTTCTTTGCTGCACAGGAGAAGTGTCCCCCTACTGATTACAATGGAGAAAATTTGTGATAAATATCCCTTGTGTGGTAAATGGTAGCCACAGAATCTCAAATCGTTAAGCCTAGATGTATCCTAAATGATAGTGACCACTAAAAAAACCATGCCCCCTTGAGTCCCCCCCCCCCCTCAAGAAAAAAAGAGGATGGGGGGGGGGGGGGACATCGAACATCCCCCCCCCCCCCTTTGCCCCTTTGGAGTAAGAAAATTGGGAAAAAATAGGGAAAATTCAGAAATTAGGGATAAAATCAGGAGGGGGGGGGGGGGGGGGGGGGACATTAAAAATCAGGAAAGCGATTTTGCATCTGGTAATTATCAGGCCTGATCCTACTGTGCATATGAATATACTGACCATCACGTAGTCCCAATCTTGTCTCCTTCTCAGCATCATATCTCTTCTTCATCCTCTCTACGATCTCCTTGAAGTCATTCATCTGCTGCTGACGTCGCTCAATGAGCTCCTGAAAGACAGACATATTAGAGATTCATTTATAATACATAGAAAGCATGAAAATGATGTAACTAATTTGAGATGTTCAAAGATGCTTGGATTTCGGTAAGAAAAAAAAGTTATGACATGCCATTAATACCCTATTCTATAAACTGAAAAAAGAAGTTGTTGCGCTTTAATATTAATTTGAAATCAAAGTGTTGATAATAAAAGTCATTATTACTGCAGTTGCGGTCTGTTTGAGACAAGTATTTGCTCATAAAGATTAATTACTTGAAGCTCCCCTCATTTTCTTTTCGGGGGGGGGGGGGGGGGGGTGAGAGACTTTACATAATCAAGTAGTTTAGGAGTGCAGATCTGACATTGGTGTTGAATTACTGTAGAATCTAATATTCATGCTGATGACAGGGCCTACAGACACCTTTGCGAATCATTCTTTTGTGATAATAAACAGTCTTCTTATAGTTCGCAGCTACACTGCATGCTTATTTTCATATGCTGTCAAAAAGATCCGGTAACTTTGATCCTTTGAAAATCCTTGATTTAGCTCATGCTGCAATGATAATTATAAACCTTTAGGTCAGTCAGGAACCCCATGACTTTTACAAGCTGATCGCCTATCTGATTATCAAGATATTTATGATTGGAAATCGAAATCAAATTTTGCGTTTGCCAAACGGTTTTCATCACGATACAGTCTATTGGGGAAAACGAGTATGGTAAAACCGGTCACTCAGAGGTTTTTACTTTTTTGAGGCACTTCCTAATATTTTGAAGCGCAATTTTTTTAGGGCTTCAATACAACACCATATCACAGATACAGACAACATGTAGGGCCATGCATCTCAGATTTAACATTGTTGAACGATCCCTTAAAAATAACAAAAATATAACCCTTGTGGAAATACAAAACGGTCTGTAGAATATTGCTTTCTACTGAGTCTTACCTTGGAGGCCTTGGATTTCTTCTTGGCATCCTGGATCTCAAATATCTTGCTGTAAGACTTCATGTTCTTCTTGATCTCCTGCAAATATAATATCACAATTTGTAAATGTCACAACCTTTTACTTGCACACAAGAACTAATCATCTGTTCAGAGCCAAATAACCTGCATCAACTCTGTGATAAGGTACAATCTTGTGGCAGTATAAAGACAGTACATAAAAAGACATATTTAGGCAGGAAACTGTTTGGAATATGCCAATATTTCCAACAGAAATGTATCTGGTCTGTCGGCACAAGACTACATGGCTGTCAGACAGCATGGGTAGTCTTGCTTCTAGGACCGGATTGGTTTTTACTCTCAGCCATTTGTTTGGACTCCAAGCAACCACTGAACAGGTCACATGATGTGGCAGAAACATGGCTTAATTCTTTCTTTGTAACTTTACTTTTACAATAACCAATTACACGAATGATAAAGCTTCAAAAATGTGAAAATCAAATTTTAAATCATATATGGCCCATACACAAGCTAAAATGACCATCATGATTAATCCATGAGATGGTTTCGCTACTATATTAAAACATGGAAGAAACATAAAACTGTGATGGCACGAATAATAATAATAATAATAGTAATGTAGTACAGTTCTTATAAAGGGCATAATACATTTGTTAACATCTCTACGCGCTGTAGGAAAAAATGAAAAAGAAAAAGAAAATACTAGTAAGGAAAAAGAAAATATACTGCATGGTAATATTTTACACAGCATGGTCAAATTCTACACAGAAGGACCTGTGTGTAGGATGTATTCCCCTCTTATTAAAAGGATACGTTTTTAAAGATGTCTTGAATTTATACATGGTATCCGTATGTTTAATATCATAAGGGATGCTGTTCCACAATCCAAAACTACGTTTACCGTAAAATTGAGTTGAAATGTGAGGTACGAACCTTGATCTTCTCTTCTGTGAGCGGTGTTTGTGGTCGAGGGCGCCAGAGAGCTTGACAGAATCTCTCTCGGTCACATTTCTGCAGCAGCTTACCCTGGAAGCTCCAGATCCAGTATGCATTGTCAACCTGAATGTAAAATATTGAAAAAAGACTTCATTACTCTAGTGATCAGGAGGTTCAACACCCTCAAATTGAACCAGTCACCTAAAATCAGGTCAATTGGACAACTGTAAATAACAGCCATTTTTTTGCCAACAAAATGTAATTAATTGCAAAAAAACAGTGTTGTATCAGTTCTTGTTAATGAAACTTGTTAATCTGAACAACTTTGTGTAAATCCCCATTAACCCTACTGAGGCCTGGCTCCAAAACAAACACCGAAACTATAAACACGACCAAATAACCAATGTTTTATCTCTTTTTAGGAAAAATTATATTTCCATATGTATTGTACACAAATCACGAAAATGAGCGATTTTCGGGCTGACTTTGTAACGGTACGTCCAATTTTCGCAAAACTTGTTTTAAAAGATGTGGAGGACTCAAAAGAAAATAGTCACTAGGCGGCAGGGCACCATCCTAATGCATTCCTGAACAATCAGAAGAATCGCGGATGGGGGGGGGGGGGGGAGGGGGCCATAATTCCTCCCCCCCCCCCCTGGGTCTGATTAGGGTTAAATCTTAATCAAGATATATTTATGTTTGAATAGATGGTATGACCTATGACCCACTGACTGACCTTGTGACTCCACCAGCTGACCCCTGTGATGACATAGCGACCAGTAGGATCCCATTCTACATCGGTTGCCATGAAGTGTTCTGTAGAATTCATCACTGTGATGGTATCATTACCAGTATCAATGAACTCAAATACACCATTCATGCTGGCACAGGGGGAAAAAGGAAACAAGTGTCATCGATTATAAAAGTAATATGAAAGAAATTTACCTTATAAATTCTCTATGTATATATTTCTCACTATTGCATAAAGTGTTTATTGGAATGATTAATTTCACAAAGTGTACGTTGAAGATTGTTTGAAGCTAATGAGCATAAACTATGTATAAAATATGTATTGCAATTTGTAGGTTTATTTGCACTTTTTTGTTTTGTTTAATATGTAATTGTTTATCAGTTTATTTTGTTTTTTTATAGCGCTTAGAGGCTTCGGTGGTACGGGCTTTATAAGTAACAATTTTATTATTATATTATTATAAACTTCAAGCCAATGAGCTCCTCAACCTAAATAGTAGACTGAAGACACAACCACTAACTCAATATTTCAATGATTTTACATATATATTTTACATTTTATACTGTTGTATCTGGTCTGTCGGCACAAGACTACATGGCTGTCAGACAGCATGGGCAGTCTTGCTTCTAGGACCGGAATGGTTTTACTCTCAGCCATCTGTTTGGACTCCAAGCAACCACTGAACAAGGTCACATGATGTGGCAGAAACATGGCTATTTTGAGGTAATAAAGAAAAAGAGACACTGAGAGGAGAGGAGAGGGAGAGAGAGAGAGAGTGTGAGGGGGGCGAGTGGGAGGGGGGCAAGTGGGAGAGGGAGAGTGAGAGTGAGAAGCAGACAATGATGACTTACCTCCTAAGACCAGCTAACACAACAAACTGACCAGTTGGGGCCCAGAAGAGACTATTGGCCGTTTTCCTTTCAATAGTTTCTGCACAAAAGATTAACAGTTTCACAGACTAAAGAAGTATACCTATTTAAAAAGAGCCATTCAATTTGTCCATTAGACCATTTACACAAACACATTCTGTCTTTTGAACTAGGAACAATCACAATTGTATCTGATCTTTCAACCAAGGACTGTTATGGACGACAGTGTGTTTATATTTCAGGTAGGAATATACATGATGCTTCGATAAATATGCAACTAATGAATACGAAAGCATTTTGTAAGTGTATCTGGTCTGTCGGCACAAGACTACATGGCTGTCAGACAGCATGGGTAGTCTTGCTTCTAGGACCGGATTGGTTTCACTCTCAGCCGATTGTTTGGACTCCAGGCAACCACTGAACAGGTCACATGATGTGGCAGAAACATGGCTAAAAAAATTACCAATATTGTCAACAGAATCTAATCGAAATATATTGAAACGTTTATCTAGTTATGTATCCCCATCTATGAACATCACAATAACAGTAAAAGCAAATATTCTCACATGTAGATATTTTTCCTGATGACAAGGACACCAACATTTTTACAAGTTGCTGTTTTCACAATAATTGACACACGCTTTTTACACTACTTTGTCACACCTGCATCCACACACACATTTTTGCATGCTGTTTATTCATAACCTGACAGTTCACAAATTTGAGAAAATAAAAACCTCATAGAAATAAGAGCTTCAAGACTCACTGATAAGCTCGACTTTTCCCTTTGGCTTGATGTTGTAGAAGCTTGCTGAGATACGAGGGGATTCCCCAAGTAAGATAGCAAACTTGTTTCCTGTAGGCTCCCAAGCAAACGCCATGATGGTTTCTTTCACTTCAATTGAATCCACTGGAATCTGCTTCTCTTGCATTCGGAAGATCTCAAAGTTGGTGAATTGGTTCTGAAAAGAAGAACAAAAAGTAGATGAAATCTGATGATTCTTCAACTCTAGGAATCCTGTACAAATTTTAATTATTGTGGTTCAAAGTACCAGAAATGAGCAAAACGGTGATGTAGAAAACAGAGATATTTTATTTTTTCTGGAGACAGTCATATACTAATCTACATTTTGCAATTCAGCACAGGGAAGTACCCTCCACTATGACATTTGTCTTCCTTGTGTTTGAATCTGTGAGAGATATTAAACTAGAACCTCCAATGGAATGATATAGAGCTTTCAAGTTATCAAGTAATCCATATGAAGTATGTATCTGGTCTGTCGGCACAAGACTACATAGCTGTCAGACAGCATGGGTAGTCTTGCTTCTAGGACCGGAATGGTTTTACTCTCAGCCATTTGTTTGGACTCCAAGCAACCACTGAACAGGTCACATGATGTGGCAGAAACATGGCTAATTTTGTTAGTTTCATAATTAAATTCATGTTACTGTGTGAGCAAGTAAACTTTCTTTTTAATCATATAAAGTGGTTTCAAATGATTAGAGAGAATATGACTGCTTTATACCTTTTTGCTCTTGGAGAGCCTATCCACCTTGCAGCACATGTAATGACCTTGTTTCTGCCAATGGAGTTTACAGTCAGCTACACTGAAGAGATTCTTGACTCTCAATTCTTTCCTCGATGGGATGGCCATCAGCGTCACTCGAGCCGGATTCTCTTTCTCTTCAGGTGTCCAATAACTCATGATATTACTTGCAGGTGACCAACAGAACTCCCTGAAAAAATCATGGTTATATTAATTACCATAGTGTCAATATTTATTAAGCACACATATCCACCTCTAGAGCTGCTCAAGGTGCCTACAAATAATTTCATTTCAAAAGCTCCAAAGTAAATCAAGATAGATACAGATAACTTTGCGTAAATCTTGACCATGTCAACGTATTGGTTCAGGTTGAATCGTCAACCACAATGGTCCGTTTACTCAATCAACAAGAGCTGTAAACAATTAACATGACACCTTTGACAGGCATGTACACTACGATACATGTATATGTCAATCACTCCCTCTCCTAATATGATTCGGCTCTAGAGTGTAGAGTCTTTTCATTTCTGAAAAGCTAAGGATACTGTTTAATGACCAACACATTTTTGGTTAATTTACAGGTGAAAATGCCATAAAATTTCTGTATCTGGTCTGTCGGCACAAGACTACATGGCTGTCAGACAGCATGGGTAGTCTTGCTTCTAGGACCGGATTGGTTTTACTCTCAGCCATTTGTTTGGACTCCAAGCAACCACTGAACAGGTCACATGATGTGGCAGAAACATGGCTGAATACGGTTCTATATGAGAAACCATGCTTCGCACATAGAATAAAGGGCACAAACACAGATGTGTACATATGGGACTACTGATTCAAACTAATCACTATTATATCCTGTATCAAAAATGTATTGCCTTTTGATTGGTTCAGAGCTCGTCACATGACCAGAAATATTTGAACCATTTGAAGGTTGCTCTGAAAAAGTACTGTATGAGAGTCAGGGCTTGCCCTTAACTTTTTTTTGAGGTGGCCAGCAGGGCCACTTGGGTAGGAGATCTGGGTGGCCAAATGGATTTTCAGGTGGCCCCACTTTTATGCGTTATTAAATAATGCAAATGTTTAATAAAAAAATGCATAAATTATACGTGTTAAAAGCAGCATGAGCTGCATTTAATAATGAAAGGTGAGTGACTCTTTAGACTCTCATTCCAAATCCTCTCTCTTTCAGCGTGTTTCCACAGAAAACATCGACACGGTATTTTCCGTGTCATACCGTGTCATACCGTGTCATACCGGGTCAGTTTTCCTGTGGAAACACAAGCGTGTCGGGTCGAGTCGACCGAGATGCGGATTATCAGATCCACCTCTGGGAGGTGGATCTTGACGTGTCGACCCCCACGAACTCCCTGTAAAATCTCTGTGGAAACACACAGCGACAAACCGTGTCTGGCGGAGCATCACCACTGCAGCGTGATTGGTTGAAAAATACTCTGAAATACGCGTATACAATAATATGTTTATATACGCGCTGTACGTAACAATGGCAAATGTACGTCACAATAGAATAGCGTGGAATCCTGTGTAGATCTGAATCCACGATCGAGGTCAAAGGTTGAATCTTGACTTCCGATTGACACGGCATTTTCCTGACTTGGAACACGGAATCGGGGCGAATCGGAATGCTGCGCTCTGTGGAAACAGATTAGTTTAATACCGTGTCGCCGCGACACGGTATTTCAATCCGGAAAAGATAATCCGGGTTCCACTTTTTTTTCTGTGGAAACACGCTGTTTGTTTCTATACGTTCTGTCTCAACTTCACTTCAATGTTTTTACGCGTCAGTGGACAGGGATACCTCGCATACATACATGTTATGTACAGGACACAAGATCAGATTTTAGCAAATTATTTGCCATTTGTTTTCCATCAAAATTCATGGCCCAAGCCTTAGATTAAGCAGCCAGGAGCAAGGGGCAATTTATTTTTAAAAGTTGCCCCTTGCCCGCGGGGATTTACCAGAGCAAGGGGCAATTTCTTAAGAACCAGGGGCAATTTTCCAAAAACAGATGACAACTAATTACACAACTTAAATAAGTGCAAAGTAGTTAATTTCATAATGTGAATAGGGTCTACGATCAATTTAATAACTTTTTAATCTTAACAAGATCAACAGGAAAGATTGATTAAGAACATCAACTTGCACATTAAACAGTAACTCCAGGAGTTAATTAAACAGTAGATCTAGATCTAGACTAAATCTATTTTAAACTGATGAGCAAATGAATAGACACACAAACCTTCCGCCACACTCTCGGCAGTAGGAGCAAATTTGAAGAAATTATCTTTTTAATTGTTGTATAACCAAAGAAATAAGAAGAAAACTGACCAAATATTCGTACTAAAAAGTTGCGTAACGTGTGTTCTCGTAACCAAAATCGTACCTCGCACACACACTCTCACCATACCACGAATGGTCCGTCGCCCGATCCTAGCGGGCTAGAGTTTGTCAACAAGACCAACGCAGCTTCGGAGAGTCGAAGCGCGCGCAATTTTACCGGGACTCGTGGGAAGCTGGCCGGCTAGCTTTCTGCCACAACAACGCTAGGTCGGCTGCTGGCAAAATGAGAGTAACTATGATCGAGAACATCGTAGGTGTTCTTAACTTATCAATAAGAGAATTATTAATTCTATTTGAGATGAAATAATAAACTAGATCTACAAACAAACCTCGACAGATCTCTAATGACTATTTGAATGCTTGTTTATTTCTCAATTTGACGATTTGTTTTCTTGATCCTTCGATACATTTGTACGTACACTGTGCGTGCGCCATCGCCACAGCATTTTAGCGATCGCATGATCTGAACGTACGTACCTAGTCTAGTGCGCTAGCCTATATAAGGGCGCATTTTCACGAAACACTTGCGCCTTATTAAGCACTAAATACGAAGCTAGTAGAGAGCTCGTGCGCGGAAAACTGTTCGCGATCCCGAATCACGAACAGTTTGCCGCGCGAGCTCTCTACTAGCTTCGTATTTAGTGATTTTATAAGGCGCAAGTGTTTCCGTGAAAATGCGCCCTTTACGAATCATTCGTGTATTTTGTCTGTTCTAATAATTTATGGGCGCATTTGCGCCTTGCCGTCTAGTTTTAGATGATTATGGGCGCAATTGGTGGTTTTATGAGCGCAAATTTGCGCCCTGCGCCCGCTTAATCGAAGGCTTGTCTAAAGGTTAAACAAGTTGTTGATAAATAATTTATATATTATTGTCCAAATATTTGGGTGGCCAGCCGGGCCATCTAGTCGGTGATTTCAGGTGGCCCGACAGCGTTTCAGGTGGCCATTGGCACCGGGCCACCGCTAAATTCAAGCCCTGAGAGTAATATTTGGGAGTTGAAGAAAAAAAATGTGACAACTTTTTTTTTAATTGATTTTTTTTTTTTTTTTTAAAATCTTAATTTAATGAAAACTAAATATTCTAAATCTTTTTTGATAAAATTTGCCATTTTGGGGGTTCTAAATTTGATAATTTAAAAAAAAAAAAAAGAAAAAGAAAGAAAAAAAAATTGATGCAGGATATAAAACAAATATACCAAGCCCTCTATTTGAGGTACTGGTTAAAACTATGGGCCTCGGCGACTCTGAAAGTACTTTTGGCTTCGGGGCTGTGCCCCTCAGCAAATAGTAATATTGGAGTCACCTCTTGCGCATAGTTTTAACCAGAACCTCTCAAGACAGTGTATATTTGTATACTATGTTTCTTTTCTTCTTATATATTTTAGACACTTTATCTATTCTTCACAGTAAATTTTGATATTATAGATTAAATAATAATAATAATAATACATATGATTTATAAGGCGCCAAATGAGAAGTGTACTTCAACAAGTCAGTACCGTATGTAAAAAAGCCTGGAAACTGATTGTTCACAATAGTCTTACCTAATTCCTGGTATTTTGAGACTCTTTTTATCTAGCAGCCCGAATGATGGGGTCTCGTATATACCGAGTGTGTCTTCTGCCATCCTAGCAAAGAACTTTCCATCATGACTCCACCTGTAGAGAATGACAAGAGTCAAGAAGAGATCGGAATTGTAGTTAATCATGGATGAAAGAAAGAATGAGTGTGTTTGCACTAGAATGGGTAATTCCAACACTTCGGGCATTACAACTTTGTAATTTATTTCCTGATGGGGTCACCTTTTATGTTCTCCATTTAAAAAATAAACATCATAATTGGATACGAGGGTGTAGAAAAACTCTTCTTAATTAATGTATATTATGGATTGTATCTGGTCTGTCGGCACAAGACTACATAGCTGTCAGACAGCATGGTAGTCTTGCTTCTAGGACCGGATTGGTTTTACTCTCAGCCATTTGTTTGGACTCCAAGCAACCACTGAACAGGTCACATGATGTGGCAGAAACATGGCTGACTACTGTCCTTTATCAACAGTTTCCATCTCTGTAGTAAGACTTCATGGATACCATGAATTCCCAAAGTCAATCAATATTGTTGTTAGGATGGGCTATCACGCTGTTCACTAATTATTGTGATATATTTCGCCATTTGAAGCCAGCTCTGTGTTGTGGCAAACCTAAAGGCATGGCAACACAATGACAATATGTGAGCTCAAAAATGAAGAGGGAGAAGATTGGATATAAGAAAAAAGCAAATCACATGAGCAGGTAAAGAGGGCAAAAATCAGATGATTGTGAAAGAATGATGAGGATAGAAGGGCAATGCTACTCACTTGAAGACTGGCCAATTAGAAGCATTATCACAGGAGAATCCTCTCTTCTTGATGCCTGTCTTGATATCCCAGATAATGATTGCTTGTGTCTCATCTCTTGGGTCATTCAGGGGGCTGAAGGTCACTATATACCTGCGACAGACAAAACATTCAGCAGTATTATATGGGATAGTACATGTCATGTGGTAGCACTCACACAGTAACAAGTTACGAATCAGATGTGCACTAAAATCTATGGCATTAAAGATAAAGGTGAGTTCTGGTCTATGCTCATAACTCAGCCAGTATACATTTTCTACCAAAATTGTTTGGCAAATGACATTTATTTGTAATCCTGAACATTCAGTGTAAATTTCGTTTGATTCTGTGACAATTACTTTTCTTTTTTTAACCAGAACTCAACTTTATCTTTAACTAGATGGAATTTTGACTGCGCGCAGTCAAAAATGATGCCTCCGCCATAGAGCAATTTAAACAAGTTTGGAGTTTAAATCTCCAGTGGTTCTTGAGATATCATGATAACAATCTCAATGTATGGAATTTCATAAGTTGACCTCTGTGACCCTTGACCTTTGACCTACGTGCTCCAAAATCTAATCAGATTGTCTTCCTATGGTGATACACACTATCATTAAGTTTGAAGTTTAAATCTCCAGTGGTTCTTGAGATATTATGATATGGTGATACATACTATCATTAAGTTTGAAGTGAAAATTCTCCAGTGGTTCTTGAGATATCGCGATAACGATCTCAATGTATGGAATTTCATAAGTTGACCTCTGTGACCCTTGACCTTTGACCTACGTGCTCCAAAATCTACTCAGATTGTCTTCCTATGGTGATACACACTATCATTAAGTTTGAAGTTTAAATCTCCAGTGGTTCTTGAGATATTATGATAACAATCTCAATGTATGGAATTTCATAAGTTGACCTCTGTGACCCTTGACCTTTGACCTACGTGCTCCAAAATCTAATCAGATCGTCTTCCTATGGTGATACATACTATCCTTAAGTTTGAAGTTTTTACATCTCCAGTGGTTCTTGAGATATCATGATAACAATCTCAATGTATGGAATTTCATAAGTTGACCTCTATGACCCATGACCTTTGACCTACGTGCTCCAAAATGTAATCAGATTGTTTTCCTATAGTGATACACACTATCACTAAGTTTGAAGTTTAAATCTCCAGTGGTTCTTGAGATATCATGATAACAATCTCAATGTATGGAATTTCATAAGTTGACCTCTGTGACCCTTGACCTTTGACATACGTGCTCCAAAATCTAATCAGATCGTCTTCCTATGGTGATACATACTATCCTTAAGTTTGAAGTTTAAATCTCGAATGGTTCTTGAGATATCGCGCTAACAAACTCAATACAAGGAATTTCATAAGTTGACCTCTGTGACCTGCGACCTTTGACCTACGTACTCCAAAATCTAATCAGATCGTCTTCCTATAGTGATAAATACTATTCCCGAGTCTTAAGTTTAAATCTTAAATGGTTCTTGAGATATTGTGATAACGGTCAAACGGGACGGACGTACGGACGTACGGACGGACGTACAGACGTACGGACGTACGGACGGACAACCCGAAAACATGATGCCTCCGGCACCACCTTCGGTGGCGGAGGCATAATAATAGGTCATTATAATAGTGATCTTTCCATTCCTACCCGGCTCATATCACATATTTCACGGTCTTTATGCACTTTCTAGGAGTTTGTGCACCTAATCCCAACTCTAACCCTGCAGCCCTGATATGATCACTGAAGTAATCAAGGATCTTACCCTATGGGTACACATTAACCTCATCTGGATAAAGTGTTGTAAATGTAGATGATAAACTTACTAAAGTGATTTATCCACTACACCGCCATCACCCCTAAACAACGTTCTAGACATACATGTAGGCGAACATGCACACATACTTTCAAATAAAGTTACTGTATCTGGTCTGTCGGCACAAGACTACATGGCTGTCAGACAGCTTGGGTGGTCTTGCTTCTAGGACCGGATGGGTTTTACTCTCAGCCATTTGTTTGGACTCCAAGCAACCACTGAACAGGTCACATGATGTGGCAGAAACATGGCTTGAAAATGTATCACATTGCCTACACTGAAATTCTCTTTGCCAACAATATTGAACAGAAAGGTAACATCTCTACCTCCACCCCCCGCCCCCCTTCTCTCTCTCGATCACCACATGAAACCCAATTCACCTGTCCAGTCAAAAATGTGTTAACTCTATGTTCAAAATGATACACATTACTCCCCTTGAGGCTCCCTTCAGACCACATACTGGCTACATACCTTTCACACGGTGATACATCAATGAGCTGCACACCAGGATGGGCAAACCTTCGAATCTGCTGGAAATTTTCTCCTCCCCACAATGCAATACCTTTCTGATGGAAGGTGACAAGGTAGGTCCCTAACGGAGACCAGCGTATGTACGTCTCTGTCCAGCGCTGAAAATAACCATTGCAAAATAGAGAAAATGTGATTTAAGAAATGAAGACAAATAAGTTTTTTCTTAATTTTCTTTTTTTTGTATGTGTTTTTATTGAACCCACTCCTGCCTCCCCCAACATATTGGCAAACGACCTGCTATTACTGTGAATCAATATAACTTCACTAGAAAACGCCAGAAAAGAAAGTGATGACTGAATGTCTTCATGTAGGAATATTAGCAATGATATGGAGACTTGAATGCATTAAGGTTTCCTTTGAGGAGAACACTGTATCTGGTCTGTCGGCACAAGACTACATGGCTGTCAGACAGCATGGGTAGCCTTGCTTCTAGGACCGGATTGGTTTTTACTCTCGGCCATTTGTTTGGACTCCAAGCAACTACTGAACAGGTCAGATGATGTGGCAGAAACATGGCTGAATGAACATGGCTCAGGATCTAGCATGAATAGTACCAAACATCATGTTATTCATCTTATCAAATAAAATAGTTGATATATCAAGAGTGCAACCATTTTCTGCCAATACTAGATGCTTCTGGAATATTTGTTAATGTCGCAAAAGGGAAAATTTAGTCCCATTTATCAAAGGCATCTACGTGTGCAACCCTTTCGGAAATTCCTCTAAACATAACATTCACAGAAACCAAACTCTTTGATGCAAACAATGTCTGACCAACCAACCTTCCTCTCCTCTACGACGTTAGCCTCCGTCTTGCTGTTGAGTAGGATAGCAGTCGTCTCACCACCGTCAGAGATCACACTGTATTGATCGTTACATTCCTTATCAAGCAACCAATTTCTCATGTTACCCTGTTAATACAAACACAAATACAATAAGGCATAATCATGCATAATCTTGATATATACTGTAGCTAAATTATGTTAAGACCCGACCGGAAGCTTCAGTCTCTGATATCGAGGTTTGTTCCGCTGATCCTACGTCTGGCTCCTCTGACCGCCTCTATACAGAGACTGAAATCTGAGCAGATACAATGTTAAAAAAAAAAAAATAACTACACAAATCTTTCTCTATTCTGCTGTTGTTGAATAAGAACAAACAATCAACTAGATCTACCACTATGTAGTGGGGGCTTATAATTTGGTGAAGATCTTCTTTTTTTAAACAAAGTATTGCTTATCGAAAAGACAAAATATTACTACCTTCCATGTCTATTAGGCATACCTGTCAACATTTTATAGCAAAATTTGGGGAATTTTGAATCAACTTGTTAGAGTTTCCAGACCGAAGGGAGGAATCTAGGGTAAGTATCATTGGATTGAAGGCCGTAATAGGAATGGCTGGCTGCTATGATAAGGGACTTTAACTCTTAATTTATTTATTTCACAAAGCTGTAGTGCTCATTATGTTAATGACTGAAAGTAAGAGCGATCAGACCAAATAGAACTTACATGATCTTTGTATGGCTGCTTCTCAGGTGAAGTCCATTCATCTGGTAGATTCATGAATCTGTCAAAGCAAATTATATTCAAAACTTTAAAAATCTGCGCAAGGTCATTCACATGTATGCAGCAAGCTGTTTTCATGTAAGCCTCGAAATATAGTTACACTTTTAAGTAGGTAATTTTCAAAATTGCATATTTTCAAAAACATAGCACCCTTACATTAGTTATTACTGGACCTATCTCTGTTCTGTGTGGAATAGTTAGTCTCATAAGGAAAATGGAACCAGAAGAAGAAGAATGGTCTTCACAATGTACATTATAGATTACTTCTTTAGAAAAGGACTTACTTGTCAAAATCAGTGATCAAGTTGACAGCGAACGTGTGTTGTTTATCAAGCTTGTATCCACTCAGCTGCTTGGCAGCCTCAATGGCATTCTCAGGTGATTTGTATTCGACAAACACATACCTGTAGGTAAAAACACGATGGATGGATTGATGGATAAATAACAATTGTCATTCATAGCAACTAGCCAGTATCTCCTAATTTCAACTTTCTGTGGAAATGTTTAATGTAATTGGTGAAGTACTCATTCACTTGTAGTATGTCAGTAAGAGCACGATGTAGAGTTGAAATTTATTGTCCTTTATTAAGCATCAAGTAGCATGTATTCAACACACTCAGCACTGTACGTCTTCATCTTGCTCAATGGAACAAGTACCTCTTTAGTCTTTACTGTTTCTGGTCTGTCGGCACAAGACTACATGGCTGTCAGACAGCATGGGTAGTCTTGCTTCTAGGACCGGAATGGTTTTTACTCTCAGCCATTTGTTTGGACTCCAAGCAACCACTGAACAGGTCACATGATGTGTCAGAAACATGGCTTGACCTTAAACAGGGGTGATAGTGAGCACTAAAAAAAAAAATAGGTTTTGTGTTTTCCCCTCAACCACGCCCCCCCCCCCCCCCCTTGATTAAAAAAAAAGAGAAGAGGATTTCCCCCTTTAGAGCGAGAAAATTGGGGAAAAAAAATAGGTCAAAATATGGAAGATTAGAGGAAATAACAGGGAAATCAGTAAAATCAGGATAAAAGAGGGAAGAAGAAAAAAAATCTGGTAAAAAAAAAAAAAAAAAAAAAAAAAATCTGGAAAAAATTGGGAGAAATAAAAAAAAATCGGGAAACCAAATTAAATCAGGTTTTTACCAGGCCTGCTGAATTATTTCCATTGGAATGAAATTGAGAATAATCACTGAAAATTTCACTCCCAACTTCCACTGGCACCAAAACACCCCTGTGCAATAGAAATCACCCTTTAAGAGCCTAATTACAACTTCCTTCTCCCCCCCCCCCCTCTATCTCATCAAATCAGCTCTCAATTAACATAAGAAAAAGAGGATCATGGGGGACCAACAGGCATTGATAAGGCATTGTTTGCTATATAGAGGGCGCAAGTAACTTTAAGTAGTGTAGTTGGGCTTAAAGTTGAATGTTAAGAGTCTTACCCTTTAGTCTTGCCATCCTCTGATTCTGGGTAATGCTCTGTGCTGATCTCTCCATACTTGCTACAGACTTTCCTGATCACATTCTTCAGCTTAGGCAACCTCTCTGTTCCAACCTGGGGTATGTTGTCGATGACAATCACAGAATCAATGCCCAATGCTTCCTTTGGTTTGGTTCGAAGTATGTCGCCTAGTAGCTCTGCAGTTTGAGGTTCATGGGAGATTTAAATATATATATTTGCTGAAGTTAGTGAATTAATTCCTGCTATTTTCACTGAAGACCAATAAGGTTAGAAATAAACCATTTGCTCAAAATTGCTGAATTTGCATGACTCAAAGAAAAAGAGCCCTTCTCAACCTTGTGCATATATAGCGATTTCGTTATAGTCAAAGGCAGTATCGCGCGAGGAGACAACGTGCACGTTGTCTCCGCGATATTGTCATTGACTATTACGTGTATTCACTTCCGGGTTTTATTGTGCGAACAGCTAGCCATACTTTCATTCACTATAATGTGTAATTGACTTTCGGTTTAGTTCGTACGCGCAGATGCTACGCGATGTAACCATGGTTTGGACTGAGCGAAGCTCACGCCTCCCTAATTAGCTGATTCAAAAAATGTGGGAAGGGTATTTTCAAACTGTTAGGCCGAATGATCCCTTGGGGCTAGCGAAAAAAAAAGCACCTAGATATTATCCTTACGTCCCTACTAGCTTAAGCTCACCCTCAGGATCACAAGGTCTAAATTTCAATTTTTGTTCATAAAATCATTGACCAATTTTCCATGGTCGCGCAATGCATGTAGACCACATAAGGATCCGTGCAATCTCTATGGGGAGCATTTTAGCACACAACATCGGGTAGGCGATCAGACATCCTACTCATATACGCGGACAAAATGCTTCCTGAATTTCTCGGCGCTCTGCAAGTTTTGGGTTCCTGATCCTACACTGGCGATGTAAAAAACAGATTCCGAGTAATAAAATACCAAACGTTCGCCGTCTTATTTTATGGGTTGTCCTTCTTCCCAAGGATGGCATCAAGAAAATCACCTCGGAACCTGTTTTTCACATCGACAACGCGCGGATCAGAATCGGCGAAAATGCACACAATCTGTCCGCGTTTACGAAGACCATCCTCATTTATGCAGACGATCCTATCTCGGACCGGTAGGGGCGCTGGTCCAAGAATAAGGATCGTCTTTATAAACGAGGATCGTCTTTGTAAACACAGACCGATGCGTCCTCTAAAATGATGATCGTCTACATTTTCGCAGACGTTTCATATTTTTGATCGGCGCATTGGAGATACAAAAAAAGGATTCCCTGATGATTTTCTTGAAGTATTTTAAATTGACTTTGTACAGAGACTTTCACATTATGAGCAATAAATCCTTGGGAAGACGGACAACCCATAAAAGTAGACGGTGAACTAGGGTTAGATTAGCCTTAAGGGCTCTCTCGAAATGTTTTTTTAATGATATTATTCGAGAGAGCCTTAAACGGCTCCCATACCCCTGCACGAAGAGGCATGTAAACAAAACTCAAAAGTGGTCCAAAATCACACTTTCGCGCACCCGACCAATATTGGACAGTGGCTTTGATAAATTTTGTCGTAGTTTTGGTCTTAATTAGCGCTTTAATTTCAAAATCGGATCTAAAAATAACAAAATAAGAGCAATTTTCTTACCAGACCGATACAGCTCAGCTCCCTTTTCACGTGTACCGTGTGAATTCACGATGTCTACACAATGGTGATGACCTCTGACTGGCACTTCCGTAATTGTGGGTAAATTGTGCTGCTTCCGTATAATGCGCTGTATGAGTGTTATTCAGCGCATTATACGGAAGCAGCACATTTACGAAGTGCTAGTCAGAGGTCATCACCATTGTGTAGACATCGTGAATTCACACGGTACACGTGAAAAGGGAGCTGAGCTGTATCGGTCTGGTAAGAAAATTGCTCTTATTTTGTTATTTTTAGATCCGATTTTGAAATTAAAGCGCTAATTAAGATCAAAACTACGACAAAATTTATCAAAGCCACTGTCCAATATTGGTCGGGTGCGCGAAAGTGTGATTTTGGACCACTTTTGAGTTTTGTTTACATGCCTCTCCGTGCAGGGGTATGGGAGCCGTTTAAGGCTCTCTCGAATAATATCATTAAACAAACATTTCGAGAGAGCCCTTAAGGCTAGGTTAGATCTAGTATATTCCCACAGGGAATCCATTTCTTGCATCGCCAGCGGGCCGTTCGGTAGTGCAGTGCGTAATCTTCGTTGTATGAAGTTGCATTTACTGTGGAAGAACCCGAAACCCGCAGAGCACCGATGAAAAAAAACGTCATCGAAAATGCAGACAGTCCTTACTTTTGAGGACGCATTTTGTCTGCATTTATGAGGATATCCTCGCTTATGAGGACGATCCTCATTCTCGGACCAGCGCCCCTACTGCGGACCAGCCCCCTTACTAGGGAGGCCAATGCCCAAATCTAACTTTTTAATTACTAATTTGTTTATACTAAAACTAAGATTAAAAGAAAGCATTTACTTTCACTAAGAAAATCCACCCATCTGCCGACTCCAGAAGTTCCATCAAATAGGAGATATCCAGCTAGTTCCTATGAGGTTCCTTCTACGCCTTTCCGTACGTAAGAGCCTTGAAACAATTATATTTCATGTCGCAAAGTTACGTTCATAATTAGACAGGCCCGAGGGACAAAGTTCATGATGAAGTTTAAAACTTCGCGCGAAAGTGCAATCACTCAACAGCGGCTAGCCTTGAATCGGTCGCACACGTACACACCTTCTTCTTCTTCTTAGTTGATCCCACCACCGACACAGGCAAGCCCCGATGCAGGCTGAAGTCCAGCCATCAATGTGCGAACGATTACATCTTCTACTACTACGAGCCGAAGACGATGGTTCAAAAATGAAGAATAGAAATATATATAATTCATTGATATTTACCTTAGATGTGCATTCCAATAATTTGATTTCCTCATGAGTATTCCTTATTATCAACGATCGAGAAGTTACGAGGTCCAATTAACATCCATCTTGCAGCGAACACAATCACAGCGCACATCCATGCATGCAACGTACGTGTACTAATATTTCTCTCACTCTCTCTCTCTCCCTCCCTTTCGCTATACGTAACATACACACTCACTAACCATGTATCATACAACACACACCTTCAAATCATGGCTTTCATTTCAATTCTCAATTGGAGTATAGACTGCTCACGTAGACTTCTTTTTTTACTGAAATATCTTTTTTAACACTTCTCATACATTACTGCACGACACTCGTATCTAGTGCTGTGAGAATAAGGTACTAGGGTCTATAAATAAGACTACGCTTTGCGCACGATCTGACGATTTTTGGCGCGAACAATGACGTCACTGTTCACTGTTTTCCTTCTCATTTTGAGATGGATGTAGCTATAGGGCTCAAACCAATGCACGATTGACAGAAACATCGTACTCTATCTACTTTCGAATGTTCAGTTTGTAAAAATCTGTATTTAAAAAGATATAATCTTTTTTCTTTATATTTTCTAGTTGTTAGAAGTGGCAATTGTGAACATCTGAAATGTTGATCTCTATCAAAAGTTCTTTACTCAAAACGGATCCCATATTTTTAGGGTCTACCTTCTGCCAATGAGAAGGTTTTTAGTGAGCAAACCTCTACGCCCTCTAGGATTTTCTTAGTCGGTGGTGCGAGTGCGTCAAGGTCGTCTGCAACCACAATTATTGGATTAAAAAACGTCAAAATCTGCAAGATTGTCAACAAATGGTGAAAGACTGTTACAGATCCGTGATTATAGGTATGTTGTAAAATGTATAATTGTATTTTCTTTTCTTATTTTCTTCAATTTTTATTTTTACATCATTTTTTTCCCTTTGCTAATTTTTTGAAGTGGGCGACGAGCGCACAAATCGTAAGTGTAGAAGCCTTACGCCCGGGCATTGGCCTCCCTACCCTTACTGGCCGATGCAAAGTGAGGATCTGTGGTATCAGTTATATTTCAAGTAGAGGACTACCAATCTACGTCTCTTAGTATTAATTTGATTTGGCTCCACCTTATTTTGCATCCCTGCATCGGGCAATGGCCCGGCACAGGGCGGTGGCTTCACTTCGAACAGTCCCATTCATTTCAACACGTCATTGCACGCGTACGCTTCTCTACACGGATCACCAACTCATTCATTCATATTGCACTCACTCACTGAGGAAAGCATATGCTTCATGATAATGAAAATTTATCAACTTGCCTTCATCTGTAATATTGTCAACGTAGCTCTCTGGATCACTGAAGTCCGGCTCTTCCTCGTAGCCGTTTTCCTCCTCATCATTTAAGTCATTTTCGTGAGACCGGTCCATTTTATTTCTACCTGATGTTCTTTCCCTTTCACTGCCTTCCGCCATATTTGTGTGAAGCACGTGTGAGCTAGCTAGCTAGCTAGCTAGCGCTAGCTACACCGCGCGCGCGCGAGAACGCCGTTAGCGCGCTGTGTGTGCTACGTACGCTATAGCGCTATAGATCGAGAACGACTCAGCTCAGTGCGCTCATCCCATCTCCCTGACCCTGTTCAGCTCACTATGCCGTCGACTTTTTGTTTTGGCAAAGGGTGAAAAATGAGGGGGGAAAGCCCCCCCCCCCCCCCACTCAGTGTTATTTAGGGTACGCGTATGCTTTTTCCCTCTTTTTGAAAGCACCCCCTATCTGAGGACTGCCAACATTTCCGAACCCCCCTTTCGCGGGCTTTTCGCGGGCTTTTCCCCTAAATTCGGAAAAATGCTCAATGTACCCCTGATGCTCAATGTACCCCCATAAATTCGGAATAAATTCTCAGGAGTCCAAAGAGATGAGAGGGAAAAAAAAAAAAAAAAAAAAAAAAAAAAAAACCACCCCCTTTTTAAAGAAATCTCCGGTGAAAAGCCAAATACACTCCCTTTTTTACAATTCTCGGGCCGGACTTGGTCGCACGAAAAGTACCCCTGGCTTTACCGGACATTTTGGTAACACGCATGCGGTCATTCCGACCCCGGAGTGGGGGCCCGGGGCGGGGGGGGGGGCGGGGGAAAAAGAAAGAAAAGGAAAGAAAGAAAGAAGAAGAAAAGAGGAAGGAGAGAAAAGGGGAGATGAGAAAAAAGGAGGAGGAAAGGAAGAAAGTCGAAGAGGAGAGAAAAGGCGGAAACGGAAGAAAGGGGGAAAGACGGAGGGGCCAAAAGGGCGAAAGGAGAATACTGAATAATGAGAAGAGAAAGAAAGAAGGGTGATGCTATCATTTTTTTTGCCTGGAAAGGGGCGAGGGGACACAAAAAAGCACAAGAAGAACCACACAAAAAAAGAAATGGAAAAGGGTGGAAAAGAGAGAATTTTTGTGAATACCTTTAACTCACAAAAATTCTCTCTTTTCCACCCTTTTTCCATTTCTTTTTTTGTTATGTCCCTTTTGCAGCCAACCTCAAATTCTGTAAAACTTATGAATTATGTCATGTATGTCCTATCTGTGAAATTTAAACGTTAGCAGTGTCCTCATATTCAAATTATGCAAGGAAACCCGTTTACTTGCTAGACTTCACTGGCAGACACTTATTGAGTGACTGACTGGCTTTTCTTCTTCTTTGGTAATAACATACATGAAAAGAGTTGTAAAGGGTACATAAGCATTTGTCTACATCAATAACCCACTTCCTGTGATGACCAAGATTAAACTGATTGAATCTTTGCGCAGCATAAAACGTATGACCATTCAGTACGATTGTCTGGAAATCAAGATTATTACTTTTGGGCTCTATAGCCCTAAGTGCTGGTATTTTCTACGTCGCGTTAACTGTCCAAATCGAGCAAACTAATTCATATGAGTCGATTTGACAACTAATAGTCATTATTTTCCCACTTGAAGACATTTTCAAGCCCCACTTTTTTAGGGAAGTTCTAAATTAGTATTATGCGAGAGCATGAGGAATTGCATTAAAAAAACAAACGAATAATGGGATAACAACAAGGGTCGTCGCTAAAAGGGGTCGTCGGGGGCTGCGACACCCCCCCCCCCCTTCAACCTGTCAGGATATTGGCAGTAAAATCGAGCTGCTGTCGGGGAAATGAGGAGAGGGGGAGGGGAAAATCAGAGGGAAAGGGGAAAACTGAATTCAGACAAGGATTAAGAGTCGAGAATGGTACAACGTAAGAATCGTCTTATTTCACTAATAATAAAATGGAACATCATATAGCTTCTGCGCTTCGCGCGGGAGGGGCGATACAAGGAGTAAGAGTCCGGAACGGTACAACGAATCGTCTTCTTTCTCTTATAGTTTAATGAAGTGTCAAAGCTTCCGCGCTAATTCGCACGGGAGGGGGGAACTGAAAATTTACTTAGTTCCGTGGCCCCCGCCCCCCCCCCCCCCACTCCGTGAACGGAGGGATACCATGCGTGTTCAAAAAAATGTCCGGTAAAGGGGTACTTTTCACGCACCAAAGTCCGGGCCATATTGACTTTACACACCGGACTTAGGGGTGTGTTTTCAAACTGGGAACATGCCGTATGCGTACCCTAAATAACACTGAGTGGGCCGGGTCGTGGCCCCGGGTTAATAGGGTTAAATTTGTAGACATAGGGACATATATTTGTCGCTAATTGGTGGCTAGTTTGTCGGTAATTGGTGGCCTCTACACCCCCACCCCCCCCACACCCCACGCGCCCACTACTGAAAAAGGCTAACGACGCCCCTGATAACAATACACTTTTATACAAAATATAATTTTTGCAAGTATAATGTGAAGTATACCGGACCACCGTCTTGAATTGTGCAGCAACGAAGCATGTACAACGTCTCGCGACATGACAGATCACTTTTCTTTAACTTCTAACCAATTAGAAGTCCTCATTGTTTTTCTCCAGGAAGTGCCGGTGGACATTAATGCGCAAAATGTGGTTCTCAAATTGCGAAAGATCCCTACTCTTGAAAGTGGTATAGGAGCAGCAATTAGTTACATCATATTACACCAGGAGGCCTGAAAATGCTCCTAATGTTGTTCTAAAGTTGCAAATGCTTCCTACTCAGGGAGGGGGTTCTGACCCCTCTCAGACCCACATCCGCTCCATCCTTTTTCATACATTTTACCTCATGCGATTTTGTGCCCCCCCCCCCCCCCCCCCCGGTAAGAAATTCCTTGATCTGCCACTGGCCATTCCCATTTTGTGATTTTGGGTGATTCAGAAACGCCAGAACTATAGTAATTATAAATCAACGACTTATTTGAAGAGAAAACTCAGTTTTTGATGGAGAGATCATACTTATAGGCAGGCACGTAGCCAGAGTTCGATGTTTTTTTTTTTTTTTTTTTTTTTTTTGGGGGGGGGGGGCACATACATGAAATCAATCGAGGTCAAAAAGGGTCTAAAAAAGTTCAACGGATGTTGGAAATTTTAGGGGGCACGTGCCCCCCCCCCCCCCCCCCCCCGTGGCTACGTGCCTGTTTATAGGCATGCCACATTCACTAGTAAAATGCAATTTATTTTTTTTTGCCTTGGGGGGGGGGGGGGGTTAATCAATATTATTTATTTTTTGTTTACATATGAAATTCATGACAAAAATCTAATAACTAAATATATGAATTGTAATTACCATATATTTGCGTTGATATTATCGGGGTTTCTTTGAACTCGCTGATATTTGGGAGAATTTTGACTTTTTTTAGATGTGACATTGCCAATTTGATGAGTGTACATATATCGCATGTTATATCGAGGATGTACAGAGGATCACACCTACCCATCCCATGAGTAGACCGAGCTGAGAGATGTGGAAGAATTCGCTAACTCTCGAACTCTCTTCATAATAAATAACTTTACCTAAGTAGGACGATGATTGCATGTGAAAAGTTGAACTGTCATTTAGCTACTGAAAGTACGAGTATATTATCAGGATGGTGGGTTATGCACCCACTAACGACCGGGAGCAGCACCGGCAGCTGACAAAACTTGACTACGGAATTGCAGGAGCAGCTAGCGGGGCCTTCACCCGTGTGTGTTTGCAACCGCTCGATGTGCTGAAAATCCGATTTCAGGTAACGATGCCGCGCCGTTGACATGGTTGAGCAGAACTAGACCTAGTATTGAGTAGGAAGTCTAGTAAGAGGAATTCTGGTGCATTAATAACTTGCTTTCAATAGAGGGGGGATTGACAAACAGGTACTGATTTACACAAAAAGTATAGGCCTAGATCTACCCAGAAATAATGTGTGTTTCACTGTTCTGTTTGCACTGCAGTTTTGTACAGATTCCCGATTACGGTTAGACTTCATCAAGTTGTCCCGCTGGTAATTGGCAAACAAAATATGACATGTTCAGTGGCATGCATTCAGCCCACGGTTGCACCACGATAGCCCTCTTTATTACTTATAAGCACTATTACTTTTGTTATTATTATAATTATCATTCGCTTTATTATTATCATTGTTATTATAATTATTATCATTATTATTATTATCATCATTAACATTATCATTGTCATTTTAATTATCATTATCATTATTATTGTGTTTATTTTTTATTATTATCATTGTTATCATAGTTGTCATTATTACTATTATTATTATTATTATTATTATTATTATTATTATTACTATTACCATTTTAAATAATATCGTTATTATTATTATTAATATTATCATTAATATTATTATTCATTATTATCATTTAGTATCCAGTTATTACAAATGTTTACAGTCTTGCCATGAGGATCTACCTGTATAACTATGATTGTACACTTGGTTTCTGGATCAGAATATGACATGTGAGATAGTCTAGACTTTATTTAGATCTATACAAAATAATTATCCATTCAAATTGAGTCCACCGGTACTCTTACTTTGAAAGGATACATTAGGTCTCGTATTGAGGAAGTAGATAAGTTCTGTTATTGTTTAATGACTTGTTACTTTTATGTTCTGCAGCTTCAAGAGGAGCCAGTGAAGAGAGGAGTTCCCACTGCCAAGTACCATTCTATCTTTCAAGCTGCTGGTTCTATCATCAGAGAAGAGGGACTGAGCTCCATGTGGAAGGGGCATGTCCCTGCCCAAGCTCTCTCTATCATTTTCGGCGTTGCACAGGTAATGACCTTGTCATGCTCTTTGTCATTCTCATTTATAGCTGTACAGACTGAGCACAGTAAACCACTTCATAACCAAACACACAGTAAATTGCTTCATAACTCTTTAGCACATATTTAAGTGTGATCTAATGGTAAAAGTGGAGCAGGGAGTACTAACCACCGCTATGGGTATCCCTAATCAGTAAATTGCTTCATAACTCTTTAGCACATATTTAAGTGTGATCTAATGGTAAAAGTGGAGCAGGGAGTACTAACCACCGCTATGGGTATCCCTAATCAGGGCATTCTGACATAAATGTGAAGCATTCTACCATTTATTACGTTTTGAATGTTTATTTTTTTACTGTGGAGGTTTTTAATTCGTCTTGTACGAATGATGAATGATTTTTTTATTCTGGTTTGTTTTTCAGTGAGAATGGCCCTACATGTACCTCTGAATTTAAAAATGATCCTACCCCCGGTAAATGAGCATTACCTATTGGGGTACAATCAATTCAATTCATCACTGATTTGGTCTCTTTTACAGCTAAATATTCCGGTTTCCACCAAGGAGTGATTTAGTCACCACTGTCTGATAGTAATTGAAATGTACTGAAAAATTTATTGATACATTTTCCCTATTTCAGTTTGTAACATTTGAAGGGCTGACATACATGGCATACCCTCTGCTACCCAGTGACTTGACAACAGGTGTATACAAACCAGTCTACCACTTCATGTGTGGGGGTGTGTCTGGGTGTATGGCCTCCTTAGTGTCACTCCCTGTAGATGTTCTTAGGACCAGACTAGTCTCTCAAGGAGAACCAAAGGTGAGTCATGGTTTGTCTCGTTCAAAGTGATTCAGTTACCGGTATATTGTTTTTTATGCCTCCGCCACCGAAGGTGGTGCCGGAGGCATCATGTTTTCGGGTTGTCCGTCCGTACGTCCGTACGTCCGTCCCATTTGACCGATATCACAATATCTCAAGAACCATTTAAGATTTAAACTTAAGACTCGGGAATAGTATTTATCACCATAGGAAGACGATCTGATTAGATTTTGGAGTACGTAGGTCAAAGGTCACAGGTCACAGAGGTCAACTTATGAAATTCCTTGTATTGAGTTTGTTAGCGCGATATCTCAAGAACCATTTGAGATTTAAACTTCAAACTTAAGGATAGTATGTATCACCATAGGAAGACGATCTGATTAGATTTTGGAGCACGTATGTCAAAGGTCAAGGGTCACAGAGGTCAACTTATGAAATTCCATACATTGAGATTGTTATCATGATATCTCAAGAACCACTGGAGATTTAAACTTCAAACTTAGTGATAGTGTGTATCACTATAGGAAAACAATCTGATTACATTTTGGAGCACGTAGGTCAAAGGTCAAGGTCATAGAGGTCAACTTATGAAATTCCATACATTGAGATTGTTATCATGATATCTCAAGAACCACTGGAGATGTAAAAACTTCAAACTTAAGGATAGTATGTATCACCATAGGAAGACAATCTGATTAGATTTTGGAGCACGTAGGTCAAAGGTCAAGGGTCACAGAGGTCAACTTATGAAATTCCATACATTGAGATTGTTATCATAATATCTCAAGAACCACTGGAGATTTAAACTTCAAACTTAATGATAGTGTGTATCACCATAGGAAGACAATCTGATTAGATTTTGGAGCACGTAGGTCAAAGGTCAAGGGTCACAGAGGTCAACTTATGAAATTCCATACATTGAGATCGTTATCGCGATATCTAAAGAACCACTGGAGAATTTTCACTTCAAACTTAATGATAGTATGTATCACCATATCATAATATCTCAAGAACCACTGGAGATTTAAACTTCAAACTTAATGATAGTGTGTATCACCATAGGAAGACAATCTGATTAGATTTTGGAGCACGTAGGTCAAAGGTCAAGGGTCACAGAGGTCAACTTATGAAATTCCATACATTGAGATTGTTATCATGATATCTCAAGAACCACTGGAGATTTAAACTCCAAACTTGTTTAAATTGCTCTATGGCGGAGGCATCATTTTCGACTGCGCGCAGTCAAAATTCCATCTAGTTTTTAATTCTATAAAACACAATACCTAAACATAACCTCTCTATTCCACAGTAAATTGCCTCAGAACTCTGCAGTCACTAATTCAAGTGTGATCTATTGGTTAAAGTGGAGCAGGGAGTAGAATGGCTATTTCCTTCTATTTCCTCCTATTTTTCAGAACAACAAGAAAACAGTGCAAATGGAGTAATGTCAACAATGCTAACATGGCCTCAACTACATTTGAACATGACTTTGCAGCTTTCAATAGGGGGTCCTAATTAACATGAGTTGGAGATTGGTATGACAAGGTCTAATTGATATCATGCAAGAGTACCATCAGTATGATGTAATGGAAATCTGTATTGATTCTCTCTGGATATTATAATCATTTTGTCTAGCAATCCAAAGTCAGTCTCCATGTTTCCTCTCATTTGCAGAGAAAAATTGTCATAGGTAGAAAAGATAACTGTTTTATGATTTCATTCTGTTATTTATGTTAGACCTTCCATATAAATATGTACCAGTATACAAATATAACGTTGATTTCTCACTCAAAGTTTTTTTTAAATGTTTGCACATGATGCAACAAAATATTATTTTCAAACCATTTCTTTGCAGGTTTACAAATCGATATCCCATGCTTTACAATCAATGTACATGGAGGCTGGAGTGCGGACATTCTACAAGGGTCTTACTCCAACGATGATGCTACTCTTCCCTCAGACAGGGCTTCAGTTTGGTTTCTATGCTCTCTTTACAAGGATGTGGAAGAAAGCGCAGGATAGGACTCATATTCATCAACTCAGTGGTGAGTCCTCTCTCTCTCTCTCTGAGCGAAAGCAGACTAACTTTAGTCCATGGTTTAACTTTAATCCACTGACTAAGTATGGAATGCCAAGCATCCATATGAATATATTTTTGAATAATTTGAAAGGTCCCTAAATTACCATGATAAAATTATTATATCATAGTTATATTGTTGTTTATTAATTATGTTATTACATTTTATTTTAATTACTGACAGATTAAATTATTCAAAAACATATTCATATGGACACTTGGCATTCCATACATAATTGGTGGATTAAACCATGGACTAAACTTAGTCTGCTTTCAAGAATACCACCCATTAGGTTTTGGGGATTTGGGAAACCATGGTTAGGTTATGAACTAGTTACATGTACATGTACGACAAAACAAAGGTGTCTACCTGGAACCTTGAAAGAGATAATCATGTAGTGCTTTGTTCCAGAACATGTTGGCATTTGTCAAGGTGTGTTTTACATAATATAAGCAAAGGAGAGAAAGGGAGATATCAAAAGTACTTAGTAATCAAGTATACCTTCATACATATGCATGTAATATCAAATGATTCCCTGGAGTGAGAGGTCCAGAAACCTTATCTATCTGCTATTGATCATGTTATTTGCTCTCTCACCCTCAGGCTTTCAGTCCTTACTCTGCGGTGGTCTTGCTGGTGTGTGTGCCAAGTCAGGAGTGTATCCATTAGATGTGATCAAGAAGAGGCTTCAAGTCCAAGGTTTTGAAGAGGCTCGTAGACCCTTTGGTCATGTCACTCACTACACTGGCTTCCTGCACTGTATAGCCACTATAGCTAAGCAGGAAGGAATGAAAGGTCTATTCAAGGGACTCTCACCCAGTCTACTCAAATCATTCTTTAGCGTGGGGTTGCACTTTGCTGCCTATGAGAAGTGCTGCCAATGGCTAGCACAAGTAGAAAGATGACGTGCCATCACCTTGCTTCAGAGCTTGAACTTTACTAGGTGTGCTGTAATGTAGCTTTGGATGGGAGTGCTGAATGTGCTGAAAAATTAATACATTTAATTACAATATGAATGATCTATTATGCAGGAAGCCTCATCAGCAGGCGTGTACAAAGGGGTTAAACCCCCCCCCCCCCCTTGAGTTTTTTTATGTGTATGTTTTGTGTATGTATTTTGGGACCCCCCCCCCCCCCCCCCCCCTTTTTGATTTTGATTTTTTTTTTTTTTAATTAAAAAATAATTACAAAAATAAAATTATGCCAATGGCTGACCTAAAAAAGGTAACCATACCCCCCCCCCCCCCCAACGGAACAAAATGTTAAATTTTCAAATTTCGAGACCAAAAAAAAGAAAAGAAGTGTCCTCTTACCTCAGCGGCTGGCTGAGTCGTTGCTAAATTTTGGGCCCAATTTAAAAAAAAAAAACCTTAAAAAAATCCTTGCGTACGCCACTGCTCATCAGCACCAATGCTGTTATTCCTGAGGGATATGACAGGAAATAATTGTTTGTAAAGTCAATGTCACCTATCACAGACACCATAAAAGAAAAACAATAAAATTGGTCTTTGTAGAAGAGGTATTAGTTCAATCAAAACCAAGCTGAAGGATCATCAGTGTGAATGGGTGAGCACCATTCAGGTCCAACGATTTGATCATAAAGACTGATTTGATCATAATTTGCCATTGTTTTGTTTATACAAGACCAGCCCTGTAAACTTTCCTCTGCTTGTAGTTGTAAGCTTGTGCAACTATTGTCAGACAAACTATGCAAAACATTGTGAAATGATATTTGGCAAGATTCTTGTACTCTATCATTTGGTTGGCAGGTAAAAATTGTTCTTATTGTTTGAAGTTTCATTACTGTTTCTTTTGCTGAAAAATGTAATTTTGAACATTTTTGTTCACTTTGTTGTGTTTTACTCATATATTAATGTTAAATTTCACTATTATAACATGTCCTAAATTAATTGAAAACTCATTACTTTGAATACTAGTGGCGGGACCAAAAAGGCAGACTTGTTAAGAATGGGCCCCTCATTGATAAGTAATCCTTGATATGTGTGCTTGTATTTATTACATTGCTGATTAATGTACCTGTGTATAAATGGATTAGGTGACACTGAAAATGAAGCTTATTCATATATCGTCCAATCGTCCATTTGTATAAGCATTCAAGACATGCCAATGCATACAAAATGCTCTAATTTTTTCCTCATAAGAATATTGCTACAAGTATTCAAATAAATGTACTGGTATGTTAGATAATGCCAATGTCTATTTTTGATAAGCTCTTTATTGCATTTAATATATTCAAATTTTCAAATATTAAGATAATAGCTTAAGTTTCTGCTGTATTGATTTAAAATCCAAAATATAAGACTGCTGCATAACAACTTTACATCATTTTCATTAAACGTTATTAAAACAGTAAGGCAAAAAAAAAAGAAAGAAGAGTTTCTCGTCCTGACTTTTTCAAAAAAGGAGGAGGCAAGGCATTAATATTTACCGTTTCTATTTTCCTCTTTTTTTTTCCCAAGATGGCCATCATTCTAAATATAGCTGGCCAATGTATATTGTGCTATTTGAGTAGAAAATCCAGTAGAAAATAGAACTGAGAATTCTAAGATATAATTATATCTCATTTTTCTTTTCTGAAATACCTCAGGAAATTTTTTGTATAAACTTGTTTTGCAAGATGCAGTACTGTGTGTTTGAATAAAGTGTATTATTCTCTATACTGTTATTTATAACCTGCAGGATATAAAAGAAGATTCACTTGGCTTCAGAAAGAAAACATGGTAAAAAAACTCTTCTCTGGTAACATATTACATATTACTATCAGATTTTATATAGATAGAAACTTGATTCATCAAGTTCTTAGAAACATGATGTAAGCTGCCTAAAAAGCAACAGCACCAGTTCCCTGCAAATAATGAGTTGATAATAATAATGAATAAAAATGGTAACATTTATATAGTGCTTAATACCAACGTTTCTCAGCTCAGTGCTAGCTGTACTCTGATTACCCTGGATAAGACGCTCAGGTATTTGATGAATGTCTTCCTAAAGTATTAGAGTAACCATTTACATTACCTGGGTAGAGAGTGACAAATGTAGATTAAAGATACTATGTCCCTTTTGCAGCCAACATCAAATTCTGTAGAACTTTGCAGGTAATGAATATGTCATATATGTCCTCTCTGTGAAATTTAAACGTTAGCAGTGTCCTAATATTCAGATTATGCAAGGAAACCTGTTTACTTGCTAGACTTCACTGTCAGACACTTTTGAGTGACTGACTGGCTTTTTTTCTTCTTTGGTAATAGCATACTTGAAATGAGCTGTAAAGGGTACATGAGCATTTGTCTACATCAATAACCCACTTCTTGTAATAGCCAATATTAAACTGATTGAATCTTTGCGCAGCATAAAACATACGACCATTCGGTACAATGGTCTGAAAATCAGACTATTACTTACTGGCTCTATAGCTCTTAAGTCGATTCGACAACTAATGGTCGTTATTTTCCTACTTAAAGACATTTTCAAGCCCCCATTTTATTAAGGGGAGTTCTAAATTAGTGTTATCTTTCAAGTGCCTTTGGAATTGAACCTTTTCAATTTTTGGGCCTGCAAATGGGACATAGTACCTTTAATGTCTTGCCAAAGGATGTTATTGCTGCCGCAGGTGTTGAACTGTGAACCATGTGATCCTTACTCCGAGGCTGTTCACTAGACCACAACACCTCTGAAGGTTGATATGTGTGTACTTGTATGTGACTTATATCCAACACGTGTTCAAAGACATTAAAAAGTGATGAATGCTATCAGTGACGGCAGCTTGTGCAATACTGTATGATGCACATAGATATTATTTTGGGTTCTATTTATTATACTATGCATGTATATGTGGGGATGCTTCTGATGTGGTTATTAAAGAAAGAGATATTTATTCTAGTTCAAATTGTGTGTTCATTGTATCTACATGTATTGATGACAATCCTTTTCCTCATCTCGCCATATTTGTTCAAAAGTAGAAAAAAAAGTGAGAAAGAGAACATTGGAATTTGAGGCTGACTGATAAAGGGTTAGAGTATTGATTGATGGATTCATCTGTGCATGCCTCAGATATGTTATTTACACATGAATTTCCTCATTTTATCATCAATAGAATATTGCTTCGTCAAAAGTCGAGAAGGGGTCAAGGATTTTTTTTTTTTTTTTTTTTTTTTTGGGGGGGGGGGGGATCCAGTTCCAAACAAATAGCCAGTTGCTTGAAATCTAAAACATGTACCATAAATAAATATATTTGAATGACCTAAACAGAGTGTGTACATAAATGATGACAGCTAATTTGATGTACTGGTAACTCCTTGGTTGGGCATATCTGTATGGTTTCTAATTTTGTTTAATTGAAAAAAAAGTTTAAAACATGTAAACATTTTGTTTATTGATTTTATTTTGTTAATTGATCTAAAAAAATGACCAGCAGCACAGGCTGGAGGGGTCAATTTACAACTCGAATAATATAATAGATACAGTAATATTGTAAACGTACATGTACAAAAGAAATATAGTCTTAAAAAACGAAATACAGTACACATCAATAAGCCTATGTGATATCAAAGAGTTAAGGAAGGAGAGATAGAGGGTGATAGCTGAGGAGAGAGAGTGAGGAGGGGGAGGGGTATAAATACAGCGAGGGTAAAGAAAAAAGGTGAGGAGAAATAGAGACGAGAGTAAGAAAGAGGCAGGGAGAGAGAGGGAGAAAGAGAAGAGAGAACAGTTGATGGATCCAATATTCATAAGTATACATGAGCATCACTGCTATATAAACAATGCAATGAAAATAAACAGGACCAATAATAAGAGAATCATGAATGTTTGAAATATGATATCGCCTAATCTATGCGAATCTCTAATTCAGGGGCGGATCTAGCTTTTTTCCAAGGGAGGGGGGGGGGGGGGTTGACCACATTTTCCCCCCAAAATCGCGCCGTTTTACTTTTTGTTCTTTTTCACTTAGCCGCCCAAGGGGGGGGGGGGGGTTAAACCGCCGAAACACCCCCCACCCCTAGATCTGCCCCTGAAATTAACAATATTATTTGGTCAGTAGATCATATCATTTTCATGATTAACTCCCGTTTGTCGTGTACAAAAATACCATTAATTTCTATGTTTCTTCTAAGTGTCTCCCCCCCCCCCCCCTTGGGGTTTCAAAATATATTAGGGAAAGCATATTATAATAAGTCCTCTAGAAAGGAAAAAACCCTCCCAATTAAGTCATACTTTTGAGAAAAAAAATTACATTTTAGTAATAATGCCAAGCGGTTGGAAGAAGGTTAAGCGAATTTCCAAACAAAAAATTGTTCTGTATGTTTATGGGTTTATTTTTTTAATGTCTTCCAGGACACAAACTTTGGACATTTAGATACCGAGAATACACCTATAATAAATACAAAATAGCGATAGACCGAGTTCGGTTAAAGTTCACCAATGTACTCTGATTATCGACATTATTTCCGGTGGATTTATCCTATTACATATTTAGGCAAACAGTGCAGATCTAAACATAATATAACCGCCAAAGTATTGGGTTCGTGATCATTTCCACTGAATTCACTTTCATACACACAAAATATGATTCTTTTTTTCTTTTCTTACAGCAACCCCCCCCCCCCCCCCCCCCCCTCCCGAAAGAAGAAAAAAGACGATTAATGAAACGATTATTTCTCAGCATTGGTAAAAAAAAAAGGAAAGGAGATGAAAAGAATGGCCGCAATGGCGACCAGAAGTGCAATGCACCATGCACGACATATAACATCATTACTACCCATGCAATGAGCCATGGCAAGAGCACGTCCATTAATTACTTTTATCGAAAACCAAATTTAATTATACTAAGTTGGTGACCCTCGTAAACTATGAATGCAGCGCTAAGGGAGCGCAAGCACATAACAATGTAGGCATAGTGATGTGGATCAATTATTAAAAAAGATTACCGCCATTCGAGGCCAATATGCAACAAAAGGTTTATTTTTTTAAAAATTAAAAATGGCCTTCATAGTTGACGACGTCTCTATGTCATTAACAAAATTAAGATGGCAATGATGAAGC